CAAAATGAAGGCATAAAAACATGTCGTGGCTTCTTCTATAGAGGGCCTTAATCATATAGAAAGCGTTTTTCGCGAATGTCAGGGTCTAGTATATTCCCGAGGCCGTCGCCATCTCTATAAAAAATTCCAAAATTATATTATATACAGGGTGTACCACTTAAGATGAACTATTTATCAAGCAGTCCCCCGATCAAAACAAAGGCATTTTTCTCTTTAATTTCATACAAACGAATCAGTTAACCTTAGATCAAGGTCGAAAGCAAAATAACAATAAATACTTTATTTATTTATTATTATTTATTTTATTTCTTTAGCACTTGGCAAGCAAGCAAGTAAAATTTACATAAACAAAACTATAAACTCCGCAAATACCCAGCAAGTCTCTTCTTGAATACTCTTGGGCAAGGCGCGCCCTTAATATTATCCGGCAGTTCATCAAAATTACAAACACCATCGTACAATAGAGTTTTCTGTAAATTTATTGTTTTTACCATAGAAACATTGAAGTGCTGATTGGAACGTATATTATATTGATAAAAGTTTGACCTTTTTTCCTAATATACTCTTTATAGGAGTATATCTACCACAGTTCAGGATGGTTCTCATAACCCTATTTTGTTGTAACTGTAACTTATGTAAATCTTCTTTTGTACAAGATATAAGCAATGAACAAACATATGAAAAATGAGGAAATATTATACTATTATACACTAATAATAAAATAATATATGCGATAAAAACCGCGATACACGGTTAAAAACCCTTATTTTCATACCAATACCAAGATCACCCCTGAATATTTCATTTCGGAAACAAACTCAATTTTATTACCCTGTATATCCACAGAATACCCCGACTTATAAAATTTTTGACAGTTAACCTTAGGACCGATAACCATGCACTTGGTTTTGGAGCTATTTCATTTCAGTTTATTTTGACACAGCCATTCGTAGAAATACTGCATTTCGGTGTTCAGTTTGGTAGCTATTTCTTTGCAATCGTTTCCAGAGACTGAAATAAGCGTGTCATCAGCAAATAAGGAGTTTTTTAAAACCTGATGCATATCATTTATATAAATAATAAATAAAAGCGGGCCCAACACGCTTCCCTGCGGTACCCCCTATGACTAGAAACATTATTACTAAATAAATATAAATATGATATTAGGTACGAAGCGTAACAGTAGATATAAGAAGTTTCATAAAAAGATGAACAGTAACAACAATCTTAAATATGTTTTTACTTACTAACCAATGCTATAAATAATTATGGCATTTTGAAATATTTAAAAAGTACACAGGAAACAAAACAAGCTTTTGAGGAGATGTTCAATTAATTTTAAAGTTTACTAAATATCGATAGATGACAGCATAGTGCAGAAAACTAAATTTTAAGGCTGAATTTCTGAAGTAGAAGGAAAACTGCGTGCAAGCAGTGCAGATATTATTAATCCCAGCGTAGAAATTGATATACATTAAACGCCTGGGAATCTTTATAAAAAAGTTTTTTATTAATGGAAAAACTGATCAATACTATTTAAACGAATATTTGGGTCCCCATATTACTGTGAAAAATGGTTTTCTATAGTGAATTTTGTAAAATCTTCTAATAGAAATAGACTTGACAGGGAATTCATTAAATATCTATTAATATCTATAACAATAATCTATTAATAATAATAATTAAGAATTAAACTCAGATGCAAGTGACCTACGAACTAGTACCAAAAAAATATGGATAAAATCTGACTCAAGTCTCAAAAAGGTCCGCCATCGCTGCTCTGGAACAAAAGCTATCGATTTGCCTAATGTTTTTTTTAATTTGCCTCATTTTTCTTTTTATTTTAATTTATTATACCATCCTTACGCTTAGGAACTCTACACCCATATGAACGATCCCCACAGTTCTAGACTTTTTATCTTCTGGTTTTCTGCTGTTAATATGCAATAAAAATATTTGCGCAATATCGTGATATTTGCCTTAAAATAATTAAAATTAACGAGGAAGAAATCCCAATCATCTCGCGCCCTTCTATTGTAATCATTTATAGCAGTGATCACGTGGGTGTGGAGTAAGTGTGCGTCGACCAGATTGGTTTTCGGGCCTCCCCCGCCAAGTGACAAGTGACAATCGTTTCCATGTTTGTCCCTAATCGCCTTAACAACGGGCTGCCGAGCAACCCTAGTCAAACCGACTTGATCTGTTCTGTTCCCGTTCTCCGTAATCGACAATTTAGATGCCAGCAACTGCTGACACTTATAATTGGTTATCATCGCTACGAAATTATTATCCTTTATTAGGGGTATGTTGGGGGAGAAGGTGGTGCGATGTTGGTATTGCCGAATTTAATCGTAGATGACTTCGGGAGAGAACAGGCGTTCATTTTTATTGTAAACGAACATTTGTAAAAAATTCACTTCACTTCAAAAAGTCAAGAAGTTGTTTAAATGCGATACTACATTTTTGTGATTTGTACATGTAAATTCCTATAAGGCACGTCTGGTGTAAAATCGCCAGATAAAAAAAATTCTTTAAAATTGGACTTTTTTCCTAGATTTTAAGATCAATTCTTCCTAGATATTACGTACAATATGACTCTAGTGTCATACCTCTCTACTGGATATCTACCTGAGAGTGGCCAATCCTATCGCAAATGGACTTATCGGTAATGCAGTATTTTAACAGAGTCAAGAAGAAAATTTTGCAAATGCTACAAAAATATCTTAAACGCATTTATCGAGTCGAGAGATGAAATATCAATTTTATATATTACATTTGTGATCAGTAAGAGTAGAAGAGTATACAATGTAATTAGTAAATAAATCCAAATTACTTTTTACAAAACTTCTGGATTCCTCCTGCGTCGGTTTTTGCTGAGTCGAAATTGCTGACGTTTCGCCAATGGCGTCTTCTTCTTCAGAGCTTGACTTCAGTGAAGAAGCCAACAGGATGATTGGCAAAACGTCAGCAATTTTGACTCAGCAAAAACCGACGCAGGAGGAATCCAGAAGTTTTGTAAAAAGTATTACAGTACCTGTGGAAGTTTCTTAAAAAAATTAAATCCAAGTTATTCCAATGTAATTAGTAAGTACAGAAATTTTGTTTGAAAGGTTTTACGTTATTGAAAAGTGTTCTATTAATTTAATACTGAAAAATATACCACATGACCTTAATAACACCCCCCTCATCCCTTATTCTATTAAGATTCGAAATAGATGTTTTCTCTACTGGATATTTATCTGAGAATGATAAATCCCATCATGGTGCGTAAATGGGCTTACCCGTAATGCAGTATTTTGATTGATTAATAACTCGCATGGACCCGAACTAAATGTGCCAAATGCTACAACAGTATCAAAAACCCATTTATCGAATCGACAGATGTAATATCCATGTATAAAATGGTATTTCTGATTGACTAATCAGAAAATTACAATGATATTTTTTTTTTCAAAAAACACAGATTTGTATCTATATGATATTCACCAATTTGATTTTAAGTTTATGATATCTAAAGATATTTAAAATAATTATAATTAACAACGAAACAAATTATACAATAAAGAAATTATTTTTAACAATATCATAAAGTTATCAATGAAAGAAAAGAATAGGTATTAATATTTTCTCACACCACTCAACTGCAATTCCATTTTCTTATATCGTTATTATAATAATTCTGAAATTATTTTTCAAAAAGCACAACCCTAAAAAGAGGTATTAATATTTTTTCTAATGAGCTTTTAATAATACAATGAACGCTCCAAACAAATTTCAATAAAATAATTTTTTATTGGTAAAAGTTGCTCATAGGGACCGTCTGGAAAATATTTTAAATTATTTCTTTTACTAACTAAACTGTATAGAATAAATAAATTCGGTTTTATTTTGCAAAAGAAAACATTTTATTACCAGTACCATATAAGAGTAGTTTTTTCTTTAATACACAATTAAATGTTAATAATGGTATTCTAATACCATCGGAGACTTTTGAAGAAAATCTGGCATCATTGGAGAGAGTGATACAGGCCTTTAGCAATGCCGGATTCAGCTTGAATATAAGAAAATGTCACTTCATTCAAGACAGACTCGAATACTTGGGATGAATTTTTTGGGACGTTCGTTTTTTTTGAGATTCGGAAATAAATAAAACGAACATTTGGTTATTTCATTATTAGTGGCAGTTTTATACTTTCTTGACAGCTTCAAGGTGGTGGAATAGTACTTCATTTTGAAGCTCTCTTAAGTGGCTCTTTAATGGTATAATTCAATAACTGAGACAACGTCAGATTTTTTTGAGATTCCGAAATAAATATAACGAATTATTTGGGGTGATGCGAGAGGAAAAGGGGTTATTTTCTGCATAGCAACATTGAACAAGGTTTTTTTGAGTTGCATTACAATATTTCAGTGCTTAATTTCTTTTTCTCTTATTCTTTGTAAAAAGTGTATTCTCTGTACAGGAGTAGTTTTCCGTTCTACTTCAGGATTTTGTCCAAGATTAAATGGATGACTTGCCTTACTTATTCCACTTGCCCACTCCATAATTTCAGTATCTGCTAAATTACAATCACTAAATATCCAGTTAGACATTTTTGCCAAGGGAATATTTTTAAACCAATATTAAAAAACAACGATAATTTAACAACCTGGCTTTAGTTATTAAGGAAAATTGTGGACTTTAGGATGGGTAATTTATAATGCCGATATTTCGACAAATGTTTTACTTTCCTAGAGACATTGAAAGAAAGCAACTGATCTTTCTGCGACAGAGCCTTAAGTCTAATATTTTCTTTAATAATTAAAATTTCTCAACCTTGGATAAAACACCGCAATTTTTTTTCTTCACGGTTTATCTATATTTATGCACCCTAAATCGAAGACTTATTTATTTTCTAATTTTTAGGTTTCGTTTACCAATTCTTACAGACTCTTTTTTTAGTGTAAGAAATATTAATAGAAGTATTAATTTGTTGCAGATGTGTCACAAAATCAAAAACATGGCAACAGAAGCGTCGACAAAATTAATAACGGAAACTCAAGCGGCAACGTCGAGAACTTTGAACTTCTCCATAGCGAAAATCATGGAACCGGACACGAAACAAAAGAAGAAAGAATCAGAAAACGACAAGGTGCTAAATTTAGCATATCCGCAGGCGTTCGAATCCGCGTTCAAAAAATACGTGCCCAACATGCTGCGCTCACCAGAATTACTACAAAACTACCCCCTCGTTTATTACCACCCTAGTCAACTAATGTTAGGATCCGTGTCCGTCTATGCCGCGTCCGCTGCTCAAGATGCTACCCCTACCAATTCTACCGTTTCAGCGTCTTTAACGACGTTTAATTCAGGTAAAATAACACCGCCGAAAGCGCAAAACAAAACGTCGGCCGCCATTACAACAAACGCGACATCTCCAACGAATTTTCTAGCACCCAAACAAAAGAGCTTCGAATGTGGTGAATGCGGAAAAGTGTTTAACGCTCATTACAACTTAACTAGGCATATGCCCGTACACACCGGTGCCAGACCTTTCGTTTGTAAAATATGTGGTAAAGGTTTTCGACAAGCTTCGACTTTATGTAGACATAAAATTATCCATACGTCCGAAAAACCCCACAAATGCCATACCTGCGGTAAAGCGTTTAACAGATCATCGACGTTAAATACCCACGCCAGAATCCACGCTGGTTATAAACCCTTCGTGTGCGAATTCTGCGGAAAAGGGTTCCACCAAAAGGGTAACTACAAGAATCACAAACTGACGCATAGCGGAGAAAAAGCTTACAAATGTACGGTGTGCTCCAAGGCATTTCATCAGATTTACAATTTAACGTTCCATATGCATACGCACAACGACAAGAAGCCCTTTACGTGTAGGGTCTGTGGCAAGGGATTTTGTAGGAATTTCGACTTGAAAAAGCACATGAGAAAGTTACATGAAAGTTCCAGCGTTAACTTGGAATCTGAGTACGCGACGGTCGTTTCATCGGGATCCACGAGCAGCGTTTATTCGCCGGAGAGCGATATCCACCATTTTATAAGCCCATTTATGAGACCGTCGATGTCCGTTCCTGTATATACTTCGAAGTTATTGTGACCCTTGTACCGTTACTATTAGAAAGTGGATATGTGACTTTTGTCGCGCTGTATAGATTAATACGAATAGTTTCGCAATCTTGTAAATAGTCTAATTCCAATGTAAAAATATTACGCTTGACAGTCTCTTCCTAGAGTGGACTAGACATAACCGTCTATACATTTCCATATATACACAGAGTGAGCAACTAAAAACTGTACTGACTCTTAACTAATGTAGGTCTTAGTTGTTCACTCGGTACAATCATCTTCATGCCGCAAGACTATGCGTGGTACAAGCTCGCCTACATTCGCAAGTCTCATTTTGCAAGTCTCATTTTGCAATTGTCCAATAAATGCATTTTTATATGTTTACTAACATATTTATACTTAAATTAATATTTTTTTCTAAAACATAGAATTCAAGTTCAAATTTTATTAACCTCAATGCAGAAGATTTGTGTTTTATAATATGCAAATTTTGATTCGAGTTTAACCAACAACTAGTTTTGAAGTAAAATTTTTATGTGTATTTTAATTGTCAAATCACATATTTCCTTGATAACGTAGTTTTCGCAAAAATTTTGCTTTTAAAATCATGAAATATACAGGTTGGTTGTTTCTTTTTAAAAAATGTTATCTGCTGTGAGTCAAGAACAACAATTTCTTGACAACTAAAGTAAAAATAAAAAAGTTTAAGATCTTCACCATAGAAAAAGCAGTGTAAATTTTAGCAAAAAATTTTGTTTTCGATTCAACGATAATTCCACATTTTTAATTTTTTTAATATGTTAAACATTTTCTATAATAACCCAAAAAATATTACAAGAATATTTCAAAAGGGAATTAAAATTTCAAAAAATGTTTACGCTGAAGATTTATCAAATTATTGTGTAAAAATTAATATTTTGTAGGTGGTGCAATTTCTTGCTGAGACTTGTCGAGCACTTACTGTTGCGGCATGTAAAAGACTCATAACGAAAGTTTTCATTATAAGCAATATAATAGGTATGCGAGCAAAAATCTACCCAACAAATGAAACGGCTTTATTTCGACGGCAATAAACTATTTTCACCGAATTAAAAGAAGATGAATTTGTAGGTGGAACCACCTTTTAAAGGTAAGGAAAATGAGTTGACCAATTTAATAGTACACGCGAAACTAGATTCTTGCCGACGGACTGGCGTTGTCTATTGCTGTAGCGAATAATGACTCGATCTCTTAATTTAATGTGCAATATGATAGCAACGTCCTATCTGTATGGGATTGCTTAGAGTATTATATACGTAAATCGATTTACTTTTTAGTAACAATATATTCGTGAAATAAATGTTATTTACTACGTCAGATGTTGTTTCTTTGTCCGTCCGACCTAGTTCAAACTCAAATTCGAAATTAAGCATAAAAAACTCACCCATCGTGGCTTAAATCCGAAAAAAAAACAACGCATTACAAAGTAAAAGTGATTCGACGTATATGCGATGCCAATAAAAAACGGAAAATTCCTGCTAGAACACCACTAGAAATTTAATATCGTTTAGGCGACGACATGAAGGGAATTTCCTGTTGTGGTCTAAAGGACCCTCCACATAATCTAATATCCTAATTTCAATGATTTACATACAGGCCGTTATTTAGTGCTAATATCCCTGAGTTGAAGGGTCGCTTGTTATGTAATTTCACACAATTTGGATTATTAATAACCTCCTTAAGAATATATGGTATACTTTGTCGAATTTTGTTGAATTTAATTAATAGCTCATTTAACGGAAGATCTTAGAAACATATTTACTTTATGTATAAATTTATAACTTAAAATCGAGGTGGAAATTATTCTTTTTTTTCTTCAAATTCTAATTAATTAAAAAATGAGTTTCTGTCCGTTCATAAAGTAATAAATTAGTTTAATAAAACTGTTAACGCTGTGGCCATTTTACTATACGACGCTTAGTAATTGGCGTAACATACGGTTTTAAAATGTATCAGCTCATAGGGGAAATGCACTGTTACATTGTTAAATTATCTTATTGAAGTTAATATTAAAACAATTTTTTGATCCACTTTATTCTACTTTGAATCGTGTTAACTACTATCTGAACGTTTTACCATAAGACCATACTTACCATATTTATTTAAGGTTAAAGGAACACCAAATTAATTTAATTAGTTATATATTTACGTTCAGGAGTTCTTCTAGACAACGCTATCGATGGAAATTTATAAAGTAGTGTTGTACAGTGTGTCGCATTTTTGAAGTTTTTAAGGCGTCCCTCCCTATACATACATAAAATGTATTTTTCTCTAGCCGATAAATTCCCAAATAGTTTTAATAGTGTCTTAAAACATTTTAACAAAAATCAATGGTGGCAGATAATCGTGTCACTTGTGTCCTCTGGCGAGTTCGAGTGGAACTAACTAAATCCTTGATCGTACAGAAAACAAAGCAAGGTCCCTTGACTGCCCCAAAAAACTACCATTTCATGAGCATAATGGGCAAGGATTTTAGTTTCTTGTAAAATGGACATGAATTTATGGCCGATATTACAAATTTTTAGTAGAGTGAAAACAAGAACAAATTGATAATTTGATAACAGGTTGATAATGCTTCCTCAAAAAAAAATCATGAACTACAAAAATATAAATATTGAAGTGATCTAATAACTAACATGTCAAAGTGATTAATTTTAACATCTACATCAATCCGCACAAAGGGAGTTGGATTGGATTGGATTTACTTCTAATGGCCACGACTACATTAAGTGATTCGCTAAACTAAAAAAAAAGAAGGGAGTGTTAATTTTGCGTTACGAATTTCCTTTTGATTTAACCGTAGCTACCCATCAAAATGTAAAAAAAAATGAATAAAATAACCCACCGCATAAAAAATATGTAACTAAAAAGAGAATTGCATTTTAAAAATATATTTACGACAAAGATAACAATTAATTAATTAAATTCAAAAATATATATTCATGTTCAGCAGTCCATAATTCCTGCTAGAAAGATGTTATTTTATCCACCGGATGTCCGGATGGTCGTGTCGCCACTGCCATCTGGCGAGTTAGAGCGGAACTAACTAACTTATAGACAACTGTAAAACATAGCAAAGCTCTACTGCAACGCTCGACAACCAAGTGGCGCCATTAAGCAATGATTAACAGAAAATCCTTAGCTACCCTCCTAAAAACTACCCTTACACGAGAATAGTGGAACAAACCGAAAAGTGACAGAAACAACTCCCAACAAAAATTTTGCGAAATATGCTTATATTGTCATTCTCCCTGCTTGACCAATTCGTGTTTTAATACGGCCTAAGATATTCATTAAAATGTTGTTGGAAACGAGAATTGTATTTAGTGTATAATTAAAGGGACGTAGCAATAAATAATATTTATAATGTCCCATAAAATGTTTCGCAAATTAGTTAAGCACAAGCACATAAGTTGCTGGTAAGTACCTACCCTTATTTTTTAACCTCCCGTAATATGCTGTTTACTGCAGTATCACTGTTGCCAAAAATTTCTGATCGATAAAGATTGAAATGCCGTATGCAGGTTTTATTGTATCATCAGTCGATTGACTATTTTGGGCAATAAAACACTAATTAAAATTTTAATTGTTGCATATTAAATTGTGGTTTATTTTTTATTTATATCTATATAAACGTTATGATTTTTGCCACGCATTTCATTGTATTGCCCTTTTATTTGGTCATTTAAATTAGAACGTTTGCGTAATTCTCCCATATTGCAGTTTTAGTTTCAGTTATATCTTCCCACCCCATGTTTGTTAAAATAACATTAATTTTTCCCCATAGTCAGCTTTATATTAAATTTAATTAAATTAAATGTTTATTCATTTTATAAATAGAAAATAGTATTAGGGTTTTTGTGGGTAAGTAGATTGTTGGGAGATGTATAATTACTTAGTAACATGAAACCTGAGACAATTAGTTTTTCTAACAAAAATATAGTTCAATTTTTAAAATTTACTACATAACTTTTTTGGAGGAATGTATGTTGCATTTAACTTAAGAGCAATATGATAAGAGCAGGATATAAGAGCAAAATAAATTTAAAATAAATAGGAAGCTCTTTGTGATAACCACCAGTCAAACTTTGATGACGATTATAAACGCGTCGCATTTGCCTACGGAAAAATGTTAAAATATGCTTCTCTATATTCTTGTAAGAAACAGCGTAAATGAAGTAAAAAGTAAATTAAATTAGGCTTTCATTTTTTAGGGAGAGATAGCTTCCAAAATTATGAAGATTCCTATGAAATTGTACCTTATAATATTTGTATGCGCAACAGTATTGTTTGTACAGTATCATGTGTATAATCCGTATACTACAACACAAAGTGATTACGCACAGTTTGAAAGAAGAATACACGCACCGGTGAGTTGTAAATGATGGTCTTAATGCAAACTATTAAATAAAATAAATTAAAATGTGTTTAGTGTGAAGCTTTAGTGGACAAACCGGGAACAGATGTTGTTCCTTTATATATAATTACGCCTACATATAAAAGACCGGAACAACTAGCAGAATTAACTCGACTATCGCATACACTTATGTTAGTCCCTAATGTTACATGGTTGGTTGTAGAAGATGCATACAGTACAAATAATTTGGTCGAAGATATCCTACGAAAATCCGGCATTAGATACTATTATATGACAGGTAAATGTATGTTAGGATATAATGAAAATCGATAGCACAAACGGTTTTACAGCTCCCATGCCAATTCAGTATAAAAACAAAACCAAAGGCCCAAAGCCCAGAGGAGTGTCTAATAGAAATAAAGGATTAGAATGGCTCCGAAAGAACGCAGAATCAGGAGTATTCTATTTTGCTGATGATGACAATACGTATGACTTAGAACTTTTCGCTGAAGTAACAAATTTCTAGAGCTGACGTCGAGTAAGATCAAAATATTTTAATTTTAGATTCGGAAAACCAAAAATATTTCGATGTTTCCTGTGGGATTGATAACAAAAGCGGGTGTAAGTTCACCGATTGTTAAAAACGGCGAATTTGCTGGATTTTATGATGGCTGGATTGCTGGACGGAAATTTGCAGTTGATATGGCAGGATTCGCAGTATCTATAGAGTTTTTGTTATCAAGACCGGCAGCACTGATGCCTTTTAAACCAGGATACGAAGAAGACGGATTTTTAAAAAGCCTTGCCCCACTCGAACCCAACCAAGTCGAGTTATTAGCTTCAAATTGCACTAAGGTATGAACATACCATTAAAAAAATAAGTTTGACCAAGAGAAATGATACTTGATTATAATTTATGAAGGCTAACATTCCTTAGAGTATGCTTAACTTCTGCTTACTATTCTTACTATTGGCCCAAATCCTTCTCTAAAAATAATATTTAAAAATTTTATAATCGTTTTATCGAGAGCGATTAAATTTGCGTCAATTAAAAAAAACTCAAATAAATAACGCTTCCAAAAGAATCCATTACTGGTCACGAGTTGGGAGTCCTGAGGTAGACAGTAAAAAAGATGGTCAGTTTTGGACATTTTGTGATCAAACGGCTAATATGGGACTTGTAGCTTTGACATTTTGACCTGACCAGCAAGTATTTGTACAACAGAGCATCATTAACGAACTTTAAAGTTAAAATATAACGATTAACCATTATATTATATTACTTAGGGATAACAAAATCACATTACTACTAATAGGAAATAGGATGACACTGAATATATATAAACTGTGAATAATTACGTAAATAAGCAGGTGGTCGACATTTACCTGACTCGCCCCCCTTATCTATGAATGTATATAATAAGGTATAACGTTAGTAATTACTGTTTCTGTTAGTTCCCTTAGTCTGTCAAAACCAAGACAATATAGATTTCAACGTTTTTATATTTCCATCATTACAATATATAATGAGGTGGTTGGTTCACTGAATTAAAAATCAACAATAGAATTAGATTCTACATATTTTTGTATGTCCTTGACATTTATCAAATGAAAGATTTTTTATGATTTTTTTTTTCAGATATTAGTGTGGCACACCCAAACCAAGAAAAATGAACCATCGTGGGCTTTAGATTATTCAAAGTACAACAACACCAACTTAGTATCGCTGAAAAGTATTCTTGTCTAAATATTTGTACATCTGGTACTGTAGGACAAAAAATAATAATAGGTGCCTATTTTGAATGTATCATTATAGAACTTTCAAGAACATATCCTCTAAAATCTTTCACAATTTTAACATGACACATATATTTGCTTCTAAGAAATATAAACACTTGATATAATTCCGACAGGGCTGGACAGACCTTGTTTCAAAATTTTTAGTTCCATATGCTTAATAATGAGAAGTTTACTGCAGCGTTAAAATAAAATAAAAAAGAGATTTTGTAAGATTACAATAATACTCAAGATTATTATTTAGTAATTGTTGTTTATATGCTGAAAAATTAAATTGTTGTACCTGACCGAAAGAGGAGCAACAATACTTAACTGTACTGGACATGTTAAAAAACTGTAAACAACCAATTATTACTAACCAAGGTTATATTTGCATCACCTGGTGTAAATGAAAGCATACAACATGCAAGAGTAAGCGCATTCTTCCTTTAGGATAGCGTTATAATTACGATATTATTTTTTGTATATTATGCCGTTTATTGATTTTAGTCATTAGTCTTATGATTTGTGATTGTGTTACGTAGCTCTAGAGTAAATATGGAACTTAGTTTCATACTGAAAATAACATAAGGGAACTTTAAACCAATAGTGCATTTCCCAATTTCTTGTAAAATTGTAGTTTTCCTTTAAAAGAAATAATTGTGATACTTTTTTATAAAAATTGCAAAATAATTTTGCATTTATTCCATATCCCATTTTAATTTGAAACATTGTTGTTGGAAAAATGGGGCTGTGGACGACTTTTTTACCTACACTTTATATTAAATACCTATATTAAGGTATTAAACACAATCAAGTAGATTGCAAATAAAATTATATTTATCTGAAAAGCTGGTTTTTAATTGACAGACCCTCTAAGAGGGAGGATTTTTTTTAAAAGGGCACATATATATATAAACTTCATTTTTTTTTTACACAACTTTATGTATTTCATAATTTGATTCTAGAATGGGCTGTTCTAGTTGAACATATGTATATACACGTACATTCATACATATAACGGCAATTCCTTTAACCATAAATAACAGTATCGTCTAAAACTCTCTGTACAGTATATAACAGAAATAAATCCAAAACTTTCATTCCAATGGCTTATTTGGAATTGTCATACAAGATCTTCTAATTTGGTCAGTAAACTTCTAAGAGAGACGGTACTGCTAATTTTCATATGGACAGATTGATCGATGTAAGTACTCAATATTCTTTGTGTGTTTCGCAACGCAATAGTGATATTACCAAAATATAATCATTTGCACAAATACATTCATTGCTCAAATTTATAGCAAATGATGTGCTACAATGTAAAATTCATTGTCCTTTTCTTATACAGTTTGTCCAAAATTATGCAAATCGTTATTCAAAATAATATATTCTTTTGAAAAATAAATAAAAATAAATTTTGCATAATTTTGAATATTGTGTATTGAGGCAAACTACAAGATCTTGTGTTAGCTACCTATTGATTATCGGGTTACCGCCTTCCTAACCAAACTTTCCCATATCCCACCAAAAGAGATGGGTAAACTTTCTCAAAATTTTGGAGCAACAAAATACGATATACGAAAGTTGGGTTAACAAATCGGCAAGTATTAACAAAATATTGTTTTGCGAAAAGGAGACGATGTGTAACAGCATTCAAAAAACGACCCTCTCTCAAAACACTGTTAAATATTTTCTATAGGAAACATAGGTAGCTTTCTAATAACCAAAACAAAAATTTTAAGGGTTTTTCAGAACCAAATGAGAATGGCATTGAGTATTATCTGTAATACGCTATTGAACATTGATTTTCTAATTTTTAGAGTCAGTTACACGCAATTATTTCGCATATACTTTCGCATAATGGCAGTGTTTTCCTCTACTACTGAATTCACACTGCTTACGGAACATTTATGTGTCGTTAAGCGGTACTATGATGAAGTATCCAATAAAAATATATGTTGAAGTAAAGCTTGGATTTTAACAGGAATAAATTTCTAGGTGCACCTACGTACCGTAATCCTTAGTTGCTCTTTATCAAAAAAAAAACAACAGATAAAACCGATTGAGGAATGATAGATGTGTCAAAGGGATAAACCGAGTGCTGTAAAGGACAACCAAGGATTGGTTGATTTTTATTATCAATAGATGGATATCCGGTATTATTATATAATATCAATAAATTAGCAATAAACATATTGGGAGTGAATTTATTATGAAAACTCAGCTTAGTTCAATTTATCAAACCGTCAGCTTTGATTTTGGTCACATAATATCGAATATTAACCACAAAAAAAGAACTGATAACAGCTGCCCCAGGCAAAAATGTGTATTGTCGAATTTTTAATTTAGCAAGGGTACCAACTATTTGGTCACACATTGTAATTTGATAGCTAAGTTACATTTTCTTTTCTCGCCGAAAATGATACTATTGAGCGAATTCCTTTGACAGATGTCTGCAAAAAATAATTGAATTATGTTGACAAAATATCTTTTCCAACTGTGATGAAACATTTTTAATCCAAGGGACGAGAGCAAATTCACTATCGGCAAATAAAAATTGAAAAACATTTATAAATTAACATACCTTTTTCTTTGATCCATTTAAAAATTCTTTGTACATCTCTGAACGGAGATATCTGGAATAACTATCGCTTTTCATCAAGTGGTAAACGTGAGCCTGAAAAACAGTTATGAAGAAAAACAAAAAATTTAAAACAGACTGCAAATTACTGCTGCATTATCAAATGCCCATCGATCAGGTATCTCCATATTTTTTTTGGTATATTCGTAAGATTGCGAATCTACATTCAACGGACATTTCGCATCAGAAGCAAGAAAATAGTCCCAGATTTCTAGTACCTTTTTCTGCACTTGACTCTGAGGCAATGCTTTCAATTCCTGTACCGCTTCCCAGAATCTAATAAAACAAATTCATAACACAAAAAACTCCATTTTTAATGGGATATAATTCTCTCACTTTAAATTTTCTCCGCTAAACTCTTTGTCAAGAAATCTTTCAAAATGTTCTCTGCCAATGGGGTCTGCTAAGAGTTCTTGCAAACTAAACGCCCATCTCCTCACTCTGCGAGCTGATATGTCTCTAGCTAACCTCTCCTGGTCCCAAAATTCTGGGTTATCAGATATCCAGGGATTAGGATATTCAGGTGGAACGAAAAACGAATCATATTCCAAATACTGCTCATAATATGCAACAAAACTAAAAATATGAAGGAGCGTACCAAACGGATCTTTCCTTAATTGAAAAACTTACGATTCCGCTGCTTTTGAAACTTTGATATTACGTCTCTCTAGCTGAATCTTTAACAAATTAACTTGCTTCTGAAGTGACGCTACGGTGACTTTCGGCTGCAAACCGGATGTGGACGGGGACAATTTGGGTGGACCGATTTGCACATTTTTCAAATTTTTCATAGGTTTATTAATTTGACATGCTTTTTTTATGTCAATTTCAGTTGTATTTACACAACCAGGCTTAAATCAGAACGTTATCCCTGTAAAGCTTAGAAAATATTTCTACAAAAATACCTCTATAAGGGGGTTTTCCAATGCAATACATGAGAGGACTATTTTAGGGTCGCTTTAAGAGGAAAGCTTCAGATGTAATCATAACAATATATATCGATAAAAAACCTACTTTACCACAGGGGACCAGTTTTATCTCATATTGTTAATTTCTAATTAAAGGGATAAAAAAGCATCCGCTGTCTGGGAAAATGAAGAAAGAAGGAAAAGAAGGAACCTAAGTAAATCGTCTGGCACTACTTAAATTTATTTCTATTTTATTATATATTAAGTTACCGCCAAATCCGAGAAAGCAAAAAAAAACAAAGATTTGAGGCGCTCCCACCATCTTCTTGCCAACCATTAAAATTTTTACAATTAAACCATTTACGATATTGAATTAACCTTACCATTGGTCTATGAACGTCCCAAAAAGCCCTCTCTTGGCTATCTAAAACTTTTCTTTCAAGTTTATCCCTCTTCTTATCAACTTTACTTTGGGCTTCTGCTTGCATAAAAATGAATTCCCATTTTCTAGAAAACATTTTTTGTAGCCTTGCCAAATTTTCAGCTTCGTAATCAGCTAGCTCGAGTCTGGTTTTATTTTGCATTGTTCTTTTACATAAATAAACGGCTATAAAGTATAAACATCAATACATTCAATAAATTCTACTAAAAATGAGTCTAACCATAATCTGTGTTTTCTGGCTCCCAGCAATTGGACGGCCAAAAATAAGGTGTTTGAAATCTATAAAAGGTCCCGTCATTTTTAACCGTCAACATATGGTCATCGATAGGGAAAAAATAACCATGGCTTGCTATTAAGTGGGCTAAATGCAATGCCTCCTGTTGATCATCTACATCTAAATTTTTCATCATCCACATTATAAGATCAGACCCTGTAAATACTGAAGGTATTTTTGTCATAAAACTTTTTACTGTTTTAACCACAACTCCGGTTGTTTCATCTTGCATTTTTTCAATGATTTTCTCCATCTGAAAATTGTGGGAAAATATGCATCAGTAAAAAGCCCTTAACAGTTTCAAAATTAATTACTTTTTTATATAGAAGTAGATTGGGGGATTCATCAGAGGTACTAGTAGGCTGCTGAATGGGAGCAATTTCTTGATTAGAATTGCTAACAGTACATGCCGAACTGTTCAAATCCGGCTTGCGCTTAACAGCAGCCTTATCTGAGTTCATGGTTACCATTTTAATGGTTGAGGAGGAATATTTCCTCCATAAACCTATAAAAAAATCCTAGTCTTAAACAACTGTGTCAGATTTTAAGCACAATGTTACGTTTGTATCAACGTAACTCTAAGCATCCCACAAAACTAAATATGTTAACAAAAATGGAATAAATAAATAAATAAAACTTCAAACAATCTCGCATAAAATTCTGCTTACCCCCATGTTTCAACTTCCAACGAGACGGCGAAATCTATTGCTGACTCCATTGAAAAATGCGCTAAGCCTTCTTGGACTTAATAATTTTAATTTTTTTGAGTAGTTATTAATTAAAACACCACGAGTAATGATGCTCATGTCCTTTGCTAAATTGTCTCATAGTTTTTATGTAGTAACACATTCATTATTTTGTTGACAACCTTGTTATTTACAACAATTTAGTACCATTCAACAGACGTTATCGATATTTTCTTTACCCCAACCCCCGATGTTTCCGTTCCGGGCATTCTCGTCATTTGTCGTTTCAAAACGAGGGAAATTTAAAATGGAACCTATAAATAATTTTAAAACTTGTCCATATAAATCTTTGCACCAGTTGTTAAATAGTTATTAATAATGTATGCACTGCTCCATAGCCAATTATGTAAATAATAATTATTTCTTAAGCAAATATCAAAAATAAATACTTGTTGTCTATAATCTGCGCCTAATGCAGGTGCTAGCTCAAAAATAGTGGAAATATACAAAAAATATTAAGATTCCAAAATGTTTGAATTTTGTAATTGTTTTTTTACGTGAATATGATTACGGGTGCACAACAGCACACTTTAAAAACTGTACTTTTGTAGAATATATTTTTATCTAACCGTAATATTCTATAAAAAAACTATTTTCTTTGATGCATCGGAGGCGACAAGAAATCGATTACTCATCCATTATTATCAGATAATGTAATAATTTTATTATTTATTTATTATTTCTTATAACGCATACAATGACGTCATTCACGAGAAATAATTATAGCGCAATGCTTCGACTCCCATTTTCTTCACAACCATGTCTGTTTGACATTCGGGTGATCCAACTCCCCACCTCTTGTTTTACAAAATAATATTGATGTATCATGGGACTACCGCTTTATTACGATTTTTAACAATTCCTAGTGGAGCTTCCACATTAGGAACAAAAACATTCATAAGAAAATGTGTACATAAATGTGATATTAAGTAACTTAAGTAACTATGACCAATATTTTTTAAACAAATGGAATGGCGCCAATGATTTACACTTTGTATGGTTTTGCGATTTTCTTTTTTATATTTTGGTGTGCTATGTGGTTACTGCATCTTATAGCAATATTTTATGGGTAAGGATTTTTTTATTGATAGTGTAAAATATCTAACATAACCTAAATATGTCCCTCTATTCATTAGTTTTGATTTCAGAAAATACCGCCTTCATAAAAAAAATCAAATGATACCCCCGGAGGAGCCCTATCCTGGAGTGTCAATAATAAAGCCTTTGATGGGTGATGATCCTCATTTATTATCAAATTTAGAAACTTTTTTTACAATGAGGTATCCCATAGTATGTACCACTATATTTTACTAAATAATTCTTTTAATTATTTATTATTTTTGTAGTATGAAATATTATTTTGTATAGAGGATGAAAAAGACCCTTCAATTGAGGTGGTCTATAATCTAATTGAAAAGTACCCCCAGGTACCAGCCAGTGTTTTTATTGGTGGCTCTTCTGTAGGTGTTAATCCAAAAATTAACAATATGCATAAAGCTTATGAAGCATCCAGTTTTAATTTGATTTTAATTTCAGATAGTGGAATACGTAGTGAGTAAAATTTGTTTAAGGGGTTTTGCAAAATAATTATATTTTTAAATTTTATAGTGAAAGAAGACACATTGCAGGACATGGTAAACCATATGACTGAAAAAACTGGAATAGTTCATCAAATGCCTTTCACTAGCGATAGAAATGGCTTTGCTGCTACATTAGAAAAAGTAACTACAAGATAAAATAAAAAAACAGTATTTGAAAGAAAACATATAATTTCAGGTTTACTTTGGAACAGCACAATCTCGAATGTATTTAGCAGCTGATTGTGTGCGAATTAATTGTCACACAGGCATGTCAACTTTAATGAGAAAAACAGTATTAGAAGAGCAAGGTGGTTTAAAAACATTTGGTTGCTATCTTGCTGAAGATTTTTTCATAGCCAAATCTTTTATGGATAGAGGGTGGAAAACTGCCATTAGTAGTCAGCCTGCATTACAAAATTCTGGAATTTGTGACATCTACAGTTTTCAAGCCAGGCTAACAAGGTAAATGCATTCATTTTTATATAACTCAATGCTTACATACTCATCATTCTAAATGATGTAAATATTGGTCCTCCGCTACTTTAAATATGTAATTAGTAGTATACTTTTAATTCATATTTAATTCACCATCCTCACATTCAAACACAAAATTATTAATCAGCAGGGTTTTATACATTACGGAATATTAAAATTGTTTGTTCCACCCATCCCAGTTTCGTTGATATGTAATTCCTATTGTAATATATTTTAACGAACCCATACTTTAATAATAAGCAAGTATTGAACATTTTTTTAATTTGTAATCCTAATCGTTGTTTAGTTGGTAAATTCATTGCTAAAACCATTAATATTGTGTCATATGAATAGCCATTTATAAGGATTGGTTGATACTAATTTTTTTTGCAGCTTGCATGCTTCAATAACATTTTTTTTTGTTTAATTCGCACTCCACCATTGTTGCATGAGAGCAAGATATTTTCGATTGCACAACAGGTAAATATTTTTTAGTTATTTAATTTCAATCACACACAGATATACACACAGTAGGTCCTAATTTTACTAATTTTTTGCAACTTATAATTCGGTTTTGTTGACCAGGGACATTGTGTTTTAGGTGGGCAAAATTGAGAGTTGCCATGTTGCCTTTAGTAATTATATTTGAACCCTTAAGTGAATGTATGGTAATAGGAGCATGTACAGGATGGGCAGCCAGTGTTCTGTTCAAATGGGAGCCCTTAGTATTTTATTTGATACACATCTTAGTGTGGTTTTTATGTGACTGGGTGTTACTTTCCATAGTACAGGTGAGTGGAAATAATGAAACGTAGAAAAAAAAAACGTTGTTTATCTCATTAATTATGGGTGACTCAACTTTAACAAGGTTAACTATTTTACGAGCGCTTGGGTTAGGTATATTGTGTTAACCTTATTATTATCAACCCACAGCAAATAAAATGTCTTTTGGATTATCTAATTTTTGGTGAAAAATAAAGACAACGTAAATATATAGGGCACCTTACAATTAAGTTATGTTTAGAGTTACATTATAAACTGTTAATTTATTCATTAATTGTTGGGCACACGCATTTGTTTTCAGTATCAATGAGAGTTTTATGAACCCCAATAAATTTAGTATGTTTAAACATTGTACAGTTTTAATTGCTTCCGATTATTATAAAGTTAATGTTTGCTGTCTGCTTTATGAAAAGTATTTTGAGATACATTTATTAAGCAAATTAATGTTCCCTTTATTATTATATTTATAATTTATATAATTATATAAATTTTAAAATAAGTTTCTTTTTTAGAATAGTTCACTACCCTTCAATAAGTTCGACTTTGTTGTTGGTTGGCTGTTTAGAGAATGTTCAGGACCATATCTCTTTATATTAGCTGTGTTTGATCCTTCAATTAGGTGGAGAAATCGATGTTTTAAATTAGCTTGGGGTGGCATAGCCCAAGAAATGAAACCTAGAATAAAATGTTAAATTTTCTCATATTTATAATCTCTTTATTCATGATGCACTTTGTACTTCACTAGACATGTAAGACCTCATTTTAGGTCGAACTTACCATTTTTTCCTGTAAATAAATTCAATATTTTATACATTTCTCGTTATATAATTTCTTAAACCTCTTTTTTGTAATCAGTATTAGTAATATATATTACTTCTCAATCAGTATATTATGAATTATTTTTTTCGCCGTCATGTACCGCAAAAAACCGGTTTGGAACATAGTAATGGTTTCCGGCAAAAATTTCTCAAGTAATGCGTAATACATTAATGGTTCTTATCTGTATATTAATCATTCATCCTAAAAAGCCCAATGAAATTATTAGTCATAATTCATATTATTAGAATTTCACTTTTGACACAGGGATCAAAGTGATGATTTAGTGTTTATCAAGTGCCCTTGCTCCTGGCAATCCATACATGATATGATGAATTAAATTAAACTGTCTGGTGAATAACTTCAAATTAGAACTATCTGAGTTTATTTAGATGTAGAGGACAGCTGAGTTTTTGCGCTATTCAGATTTTTTTTGTAACAATAAATTAACCATAATAAAATGATTAATTCTACTCCATTCTTTAATCCTACCCCAACTGCTTCAGATGAGTTAAATTTTATTTACTTTATTATGGTAAGTAAGTAAGTATTAAGGTAAGTAAAATTGTAATTGGTAGAGAGAGTGTGCGATTTTTATTACCATATGCAACTTCAATTATCGGGTAAGCGAGATGGTGAACTGAAAAAACTAGGTGTTTGATCATATTATTAAACTCAAACAATAGTCGGTGTCACAAGATTAGATAAACCTTTTGGGAGATTGTATTATCTATAGCCAGATAATGTTTCACAAGTGATGAACTTGATTAAACATTTCAAATTTTTCTTTTCCATATAGTTAAAAATGACAGAAAACGCAGCTTATGACAATACCCATGACGAACCAAATTATGGGCAAATGGAAGGCGAGTAACATTGTAGTTTAATCTTTTCTTTTTACGCAAAATTTTGTAAGTTCAACTAAGTAATTATTACCAGCTAAAACTAAGGAACCCAAAATTGTTTGTTCTTGTTATTGATTTTAGACATTCCTTTACCGGTATTTTCTGAAATTAATTATATCAATAAACGGGAACAACGAAATGAAACAGGTATAATCCACCTGGACCGCGAATAATAGCTGATAATATTTATTTTAGGATTTAACTATCACAATGAAATAACGTCAAGCCATGTCGTAACATCTCAGCCTCTTCGTTACAATGGAGGTGAGTTAATAACAAACATTTATTTTAATCCGGTCCAAACGTGATTTCACCGGAATTTTCAGATTCAGTGGTTACGAATATTAGAAGACCAATACCGATTTCTGTAATAAGCGCTGCGTCGTCTCAGTCCTATATTCTACCCGCAAACGGTTTAGATTTTATGAGAAATGCAAACCAGTTGATTATACAACAAAGCGTGGAACTCACAGATCGTAATAACTACCATTAAAATTGTTGCGGGGTTAATAGCTTGATTATTTTATAGTAATGGCAAATGTTTCATCAGAAAATCGCTACACAGTTAAAATTCCAGGGGGTGAGAATTCGGAAGCGATTTATTATGCCACTGAAAGCTCAGCTTCGTTTCAAAGAACTTTTTGCGGTTCCGGTAGGGCATTTAATATGAGATTATATGACAAAACCCAACAAGAAGCCGTATCTTTTCAGAGAAGGTTGGCTTGTGGGACTTGTACGTTTTGGTGTTACCTACAGGTATAATTCCTCATCAACGCTGAATGTTTAAATACTTAAACATTTTAGAGGATGGAAGTATGGGTGCCCCCAGGTGAAAAAGTTGGCACAATATCCCAGAATATACAGTTTCTTAAAACTAGTTTTGAAGTTTGTAACAGACATGGCGAAGTTTTATATAGAATAGAAGGTCCGAATTCGTTTGGATGTCTACTTGGAAAGACGCAGATCTTTCAGGTAGTGAATGTCACAACAAGAACTTGTGTCCTGATAAAGTTGTCACATAATCAACGGCGTAGTTACTGTATAGCAGTTTCTTGTTTGAACAACGGAAAATAGATGGTCAATCACAAAAAAAATTATAATAAGAGACAACAAAACAGCCTCGCCCATTTTAGAATTCAAGTTCTTGTTGAGCTCCTTAGTGTTATTAGCCATACCAGATAGTTTCTGATGAATTTAAAGGGGAAAATATTAATTTTTCAAAGAATCTTCCACAGGCTACTGTAATACTTTTTACAAAACTTCTGGATCCCTCCTGCGTCGGTTTTTGCTGAGTCGAAATTGCTGACGTTTCGCCAGTTTCAGTCAAGCTCTGAAGAAGCCAACAGGATGATTGGCGAAACTTCAGCAAGTTCGACTCAGCAAAACCCGACGCAGGAGCAATCCAGAAGTTTTGTAAAAAGGGAAAAATATTGCTTTTAGATTTATACCTCTGATGGTTTAACGCAAATTGGAAGTATTATTCATCAGTGGGACCGTCTATCCGTCTCCTACAACTTATTATTGCAGATGCCCAGTTCTATTACCGATAATCGCCACAAGGCTTTATTACTCGGGTCCGCATTTTTATTGGTAAAGAAAATGAGTTTTTGATTAAATTGTGCAAGCAAATATTGAATTATTGATAACAATTTCTTTCAGGAGTACATGTTTTTTGAAAGCGCCAAGAAGAAGACGTTTTTGAGATGTATATGTTAGGAAGTCCGTCGCATTTAAGTACTCTGTTTTGATATAAATAGCATTTTTTATGTTTATGATTATACTTATTGTAATTTTTTTATATAAGATTTATTCAAACGAAATAAAAAACTGTTTTCAAATAATGGGTATATTATTTTATATTTCTTGTATGTAGGACCACAGACACTAAAACAGTTTTAAAGACTAAAGTGTTAAATAATTTAATAATAAACAACAAAAATATACACAATATATAAAATATTCATATTTGCAATATTACAACTGGAGCCAACCTACAATAAAAAAAAATAACACAACAAAACCCACAAACAAACAGTAAGCGTTAAAATTGAATTAGAGACAAAAATATTAATAAAATTGTTTTATTTACATTGTTTTAATGTACAGGTTGATAGAGATGATTCAAAATAGGGACTTTTGATTTTAACGATGTTGGTGCGGAAGGCAGCTATATCCTAATTAAAGACAGGATACCCCTATGTTTCCTTCCTGTTAGTAGTTAAAATGTAACAAAAAACATGAACACCAGAGGTATCCCTCTTTAATGTCGTAGGTATGGCGAAAATTTTATAATTTAATTAATACACGAAAATATTTCTTTGCGTAATAAAGGCCATCTTCTAAATGAATTGTTCTACTCATTATTGCTAACGTTATTTTAAAAATATTTGCCAAGTCTAATACACATTTGTTCAAATTACGACACCGACGTTGATTAACTAATAAGCTTGTTTGTCTATAATACACTTGGAATATAAAACGCGATGTTTGTTTTAAATAGCGGGAAATATTTGTTTATTTTTTGTACAAATTAACGGATTTCATTGATCGATTATAGATTTTATGGTAATTATTATACTAATGTATTAATGTGGACAGATTTGTTTAGAATGGACAGGCGAGAGGTTTAGTTTAATTTTTTTAATGATCGAAGTCGTATGACCTATATCAATTTGGACTACCAAACCTTAGCCTTTTTTGTGAATTAATACGTCACTGAGCAATAATGTATAAAATGATACAGGACTAGAAAATATTGCGCTCTTTATTTAATTCGATTTAACATGGAATGTTCAACGACATTGAAATTTTTTTTATTTTATATATAATAATTCAGAACAGCCAACATATATCGTCAAAAAAATAAAAGTGAGCAACTGCTTCTTTTATTTCATTCGCACTTAAAAAAGCCCTTAAAACACTTTTGACAGACAAATACTAAGTATTGACTGAATCAAATGCTTTCTAACACTGATTTGGCGAAAAAAATATATAGTAAAATATATGGAACTATTAAATTCTACATTCTAGACACTCAGATAATTTTTAAATACTTCTCGTCTTCTACTCTCCCTAGGAAGTATTACTCTAAAATATTTTAAGTTAAAGAGATAAAATATTTTTGTTGATTCAGTAGTTTGCCTTCAAAATTTTGCTAAACTATTTCCATATAGTTTAGCATTATTTGACTCCTGTGTAAACTAACAACCATATCACAGAAATAAATGCTTAAAATAAATAAACCAAGACGGGAAACAAACACAACATAGACAGTGGTTTAAGTATTTTTTTCTTTGACATTTTCCAAATAAGGTTCCTTGTTTAGTAATAAATGTCACTGGTATTTTGTGTTTTTTCCAAAAGCGGAGGTAGATGTGTGGCTGAACATACATAATATTGCAGTTAATCTCGTTGGACAAAGCGATAAAAGAGATAATTTTCGCATGACAGGAATTGAAAATTATAAAATAGGTAACTGATTGAAATGTGCATTTTGCTAATTCTTATCATTTTACCACTTTAATGTATATTTTTATATCCCATAGAGCTTTGGGTGCAGCCAAACTTAAGTGCGTTTTGGAACTACAAAATGGCAAGTACAATTAACGATATGCCATTGCATGGACGGGACAATATGTATTGAATGTGTCACGTACAATAAACGGCAAAATGGCAATAATAAATATAGGGTGGAATTACTGGAGGGGTAGTTCAGGTGCCCAAGTAGCTGCTGATTTGATCTACTTAGCTTTTGAGCTCACTCTCATACCAATACTGTTTAATCCACTCCCTCTCGATTTCGACTTTGGTAATGAGTCTAAAAAAAAATATTTTATCATTCCTTTTTTTAATTTAAATTCTTACTACTCCGCCTATTTTTGGAAAATTATTTTCACTATATATACCAACCTCTATTTAATGTGCATTTGTTGTTAGCCAGGGCTTCTTTATCCATGCGCATTGCGCGGCCTCTTCTATCTAAATTCAGTTTGTCTGCCCTGACAAACATGCCATATTTTGGTTTACAAGCGAAATAACGCACCCCTTGTACACTGCCGTCGTTTTTCCCTGAGATAAATCTGTTAAAATATCCCCTTTAAGATTAACGAGGAAAACAATTTACCTTTCGGTGCATCCAATTCCACACCGATCCAAGTGCCCGCAGCAAATTCAGTTTCCCCAATATAAGCAACAACCCCTGTGAAATTATATGGTCTAATGGATACACTCTCTCCTAACACAACCCAATCAGGGACGGGTATATCTGGTATTTTCGATAGGTCCGCTTTGGAGCCATAGTGGTTTTCGTGTTCATCTATAAACGCAATACCAGAATAGTTAAAGTTATTAAATTATCGATTATCTAACGACCTTCTAGTTTATCAGTGGAACTGGCCATGGAGTCATCCTCGTGATGGGAGATAACGTTATTAATTTTTTCAAACGATTGAATTTTATTTATCCGGACTTGAGGAAAAGACGCCCTTTGGGGCATATTTTTGGTTGCATGTTTCTTCCTACGCACTACCCTAACGGGCGACGATTGGACTTTCGTTGAATTGTCATTATCGTGATGTTGAGTCGAATCGCTGTTTGAACTATTCATTATATCTTCAGAACTTTCGTTAGCTACTAAATCTTCCGCCCTTTCTTCTAACAAAGGGATTCTCTAAAATAGGATGCATCAAACAGCGTTAAGTCTTTTAAATCGTTTAACGTACATTTATGCAAGTTTCCGTTTCAAAAGGACGACACTCAAAGTCCGGGGTTTCGTCTACGCTAATACTTTTTAATGACACGGAATCATCACTTGAAAGATTTGTAATGGACACCGCCTGTGAACCGTAACCGCTAGAACTTGTAGAAGGAGTACCGGTTCTTGGTGCTAACTCAGTTAAGGAGTCTAAAGTCCGAGACGTGGGTAATAACGCCCTTTTAGAATTTTTTCCCCTATAATTATTCTGAAAATAAAAAAAAAAAATCTCGTCTGATCGTGACATGCGAAGCTAGATCTGCGTTCTTACATGGAAACTGGTCTTGTCATTTATTCCGTCTTCAGTTTGTTCCTCTATTGTGTCGTCGGTTAAAAAGTCGAATGAATGTTTCCTTGGCAACATTTTAATGGGTTCTTCATGAAGTGTGGTCATTCGCAACCCCAATTTCGTATTCGCTGGAGATGTGATTCCAGGAAACACTGCAATATTGTTGTATGTAAATTAACGGACGTTCCGCAGAATTTACGATCCAAAAAGCAACTCCCGTTGCGAAAATGGTTGTCCCTTTTTGGGAAACTTGCTCCTTTCCGTGGAAAATTTTATTTGAATGTGATTTGTTATGAGGGTTCGAAAATTGCAAAAAAATTAAATTTGAAAAATATTTATATTGTATGACGATAATAAAACAACTATTAATTTCAGATAAAAACGTTAAACGTACAGTCAATGCTGAACCTCAAATACAAAGGGTTGGAACAACATATACGACTCCACAGATAATGAATGAGAAATTAGATTGGTGCCTTTCTTATAGCAGAGATAATGAAACATAGTAATTTTTTAAAACAATAATTTTTTTCATTTTGCATTCGAGGGTTGATTTATGGACATAGTGTATACAGGGTGAAAGAAAAACCTTGGTCAATCAACTTCCACTTGAGCGCTTTGTTCTCAATATACGCGGTGTCAACATAAACTTTTTTAAAATGATATCTATCTCCAGTGTTTTTGAGTCTTTTTTTGGAAATTGATGCATATGACACACTTATCTATGATTTTGACGAAAAAAAACTTGAAAAGGGGTGTGTGTTAACCTTTAACCCATATTTTTTCTTGAACTATCTGCGTTTTGTGGTTGGCTGAAGGTATGTTGAACTTTTGTGTCTCTTCTAAAATCTTGATTAGAAGCTTCTTTAAATAAACTTAAAACAAGATCAATTAAAAGGTACCACATACATCTGTGAAAACTATCAGGTAAAGTAAAAACAAAAAATCTAATTAATATAAATTATAATAAATATACATTTTAAAAATATTAACCTTGTATTTTAAAAACCAAATTTTCAAAGTGAATGCCAAAAGAATATATGATTTAGGGATTGTCTTCCGTTTTTATAACACCCTGCACATATAAATATAAATATAAAAATCAATTTCAATAAGTCATATAAGGTATCAAAGTATCAAAAGTAGACATACAAAACTAAAGGTAAACACGAAAATTACCTATGGATGGGGCTTGGGTAAGGGAATCGGTTTTAAAGGGTGAAAATGCAAGAACAATATATTTTCCTCTGAAATAATAGCTGTGTAATATTAATTGAGTTACATTCGTAAACACCCCCGGCAATTAGCGTAAATTTGAAATCTATTTTTGCATTTTTGCATTATCACGCGGTACAGCGAACTTTTTGTCATTTCACCCTTAAAAATCTCCCGACAAAAGCTATAAGAAAAATAGTAGATAGGATACAACTAAACAGAACTAATAAAAATTAAATAGCCATTCCAGTGTGTGAAGAGCAACCAAAATTAAAAAGGGCTAAACGTGTAAATGCTTTCTTTTGTCCACATAAATAACGTACGTTTGGTACTGCTGGTTGGCTGTTGCATTCTTAGGGAATTCAAATTTAAGTTCAGATTTAAGAATGTGGGGCGGGCTGAAATATTAAAAAAAATAAATTGTTGTTGGTTCGTAACCTCAAACGTGCAATTGAACATCCTATCTACATCATTTTGGACTTGTACACTTTCAAAATGATACAGTGATCATTTTAAAGTCAAAGAGACACATCTTTCCTTCTAACAGTCAACACTCATGCAAGGTGAATTGCCAATTGGTCTCATATCGGATAAATTTGGTTCGAGGCGAAAATTTAGAGACGAACCAGCCTAATGAACAACTACACATGCTCCCACGATGCTTACGATCTTTCAGTTCAATTTGTCAGAAATTTTGCTTGGAACAGAATTGTAATGATGCCAACTTTTTGTTTAATTACAATAATTCCACTTAATAGACTGTTGGCTCACATTACACGACTGTTCAAAGTTGTCTCTGTGACTTCATTACAATAAACATATTCTCTGCGACATCATTTCGACTCACAGTCTCATTACCCAAAAAGTATGTTCCTAGTTATTTTAGTTTTGGTTAAAGCTAAAACCAAAAGCCTTATATATTTACAATTTTTGAAAACGTTGCAAGCTTCTTGGAAGGAGGATGAAAAAAGATCATTTTTGCGTTAGTCACGACATGCGGTAGTGCTATATTTTACAAGTGCTTCGATTTTCGTATTTGTACAATTTCACAATATATAAGGACTTTGATTAAAACTAAAATGGCAAATGATAAAGTCAAACCATGCGTTCGTTATTTCATCTACACTCTTTCCTACGAGCTACAACACTGTTTTGAGTTGCACCAAATAGGATGCATCAAATGCTCAAAACCAGTCAATTGATTCAAGCATCATATTCATATTTCCCTTTTAGTTTATCCACCTATTTTAGCAATCTTAAAATAAAAGCAAGCCTCCATTTTACCTGAAAGAATGGAGCCTTGTGTGGTTGCAAAAACAAAATCCAATGTTAGTGGCGTTATTTTTCCATATGCTAAATTTCAAAAATCAAGAGAAAATACAAAATAAAATCCCATTCGATGGCCGTTAATGAGTTTACACAGAAAAATCCGCAATAATTTATTGAGATACATACCGAGACCGCCGTACGTCTTGGGAGGAGTGGAATCCATTTCTTTTCCAGAACTACTTCTGGGTCTCAGAGAAGTTAAACTGTGCAACTCACTATTTAACTCCGAAACACTTTCAGATCTGGACATGTGCAGCGATTCAGTGCTCATTGTGTCGAATCTCATTAGCTGCAAATAATTATATTTGGCATTGCCAATAAATAATATATAGGGCATTTCAAAGAAAATTGCTGGAGAAAAAATAATGCCCTTGTTCCAAAAAAGAGTACGTATATGTACATTAAAGTTTAAAATTGATATGAAACTATCAACTTTTATTTAGATTTACTTTTGAAATACCCCCTGTAAAATGATTAAACCACATATTTCCGTTAAGCATACAAGAGCGGGCTGCTGGAATTGATGAGATGGATGAAAAACATACCCCCTTGGTTTCCAAAGTCTGTGCAGCGATAAGAAAAGTGAATATGCATTACAATTGTCTACTATTTGCGCTATTCCGCTAATTAATTGCAGAAGTGTGAGAAGGAAAAAAGGTAAAATATTTTTTCACTAATTAGTTTTACCTGTGAGAAATTCGGAACACTGACTGTCTTCCTCATCAGCGGCTGGCCTTTAGCTTGCAGTAACTCTTTTACGGCTACACTTTGCCTTAATCTATCCAATGTTAAAATACTTTCCACCGCGCTTACACCTCTTGTGTACTTTTCTAGAATATAAAGGATTTTTTTTAGCACCCAAACTTCATTTCAACTATAACCAGGGTGGTTCCAAATAAGATGCTAATTATAAACAGCAGATTATGAGTGTGAATCTTTTTATCTTTCCCATAAGATGCCCTGTATACGTCAAAAGTTAAAAATGGTTGAGGATATAGGTTGATCTGAACTTCACTTAAGAATCAGCGTCTTTTCTGAAACAGCCTGTATAAAAGCAACTAACCAATGTAAGTCTCTCCGTCGCATAAAGATGAGTCTTCTCCAGAAGCGGCTAACTGAGCAAGACTCTCTCTATCCTCTAATTCTTCACTAGCTTTAGGAACATTTGAAACGACTAAATAAGTAACACCACAAGATGTAATGAGATCACTTCTAACTATTTTTGATTTGATTTGATTTTTGATTCGATCAGCGATGCTTTGCCTTTTATAAATATTTATAGACAAGCGCTTTCTTAATACTAAATCCATCGGCGCGGGATGCGACAACCTTACTGTCACCCTAAGGATCATATAAACTCGTTCGTTCGCTGAAAATCGTATTACTAAAATGAGCACATGCATTCAGACCAATTCAAAATTTACGTACGTTCTGTAACTTTATTAAGGTATTGACTGTCATGAATCGACGAATCCCAACTAACGATAGCGCAAACATCTTTTTCATAGTGTTGCACGATATGTAAACTATAAAATGGTCGTCCATCCTCTTTTGGTAGGATCGAGTTAACACCCGTTACCGTCACTTCTTCTCCCGATGGATGAGTAGATAAATCATCAGCTAAAGGAAGCGGGTTGTTTAAAAATAAAAAATCATAGGATTTTTCATTTGAAAGAGACAATATGAAATTCTGAACTTGCAAGCTTTTAGATCATGTACAGGGGAAATCGTATTATTCGGCGAAATCAATCTCAAGCTTTGAACTGAGGTGACTTTTACTTAATGAAAATCCATGTCATTGACATGACAATTGTTTCGACAACACCGTCTATTTATCAAATGTAATATTTACAAACTACCTGGTACTATATATAACGAAAAATGACCATAAAACCTTAATTAATGTTGTGAGAATTTAAGTTCAATAAAGGAGAGGTATTTAAATCCAATTGATCGTTAATTTGAATGTCTCATTTTGTTAATCTCCATGGCTTCCAATAAATTTAATTTTCTAGTTTTTATGGCTGTATGTAAAATATCAAAATTGTCGTCAAAAATGTGTTTTTCTGTGTTTAAGTGTGTAGCATAATTAGAACCTAGACTATTATTTTTAAACGCTCTTTTATTTTCGTTAATGCGTGTCTTGAAGGATCTAGCTATTTGTCAATATAATTTTTTTTTAATATTTTTTTTTATTTTTTATATATTGGACAAACAGGTAGATCCTTCCAGAAATGCATTAACGAACATAAAAGAACGTTTAAAAACAACAGCCTAGATTCTAATTATGCTACACACTTAAACACAGAAAAACACATTTTTGACGACAATTTTGATATTTTACATACAGCCACAAAAAGTAGAAAATTAAATTTATTGGATGCTATGGAGATAAACAAAATGAGACATTCAAATTAATGATCAATTAGATTTAAATAACTCTCCTTTACTGAACTTAAATTCTCACAACAACATTAATTAAGGCGCTTATGGTCATTTTCGAGATATATAATTTCGTGAAAATCTGAACTTTTATTTAGTTCTTATTTATTTTGAATCTCAAGATTGTTTATTTTAGACTACCTAAAACCATTGCGGTCGGCGCACAGTTCCTTTGATGGTAAATCTTTTCTCGAGAGATAGAAGACGTTTTAAAAAAGACAGAGAAACTCGAATTTTGAACCAATACACGCCCAGTACAAAAACAACCCTTTATAATATATCATAATTATTCAAAATGTAATTCCCTACTTAAAATTTTGTTGTTAATTTTTTTGTAGGCATCTATTATATATATAAATCAAAATTTTTAACAAAAGAAAACCTTTCTTTATCTTTGCATAAATCTGAACAATTTTGATCAATTTTTTCACTTTTAGCTCTTTAATAATCTTGTTAATTTTATGAACAGAATATTATATAGTATATATAATAACCAGTTTCTATTAAGTTGGGACAGGAAAATCAAATCATATCATATGAAATCATAGGCAGCACATACCATTTAGATCCAGAAAAAGCACGGGGATATGGGGTTCCATGCCTGGCGGAGGACTCCACATCGCAGGAGCACCAGGGATGCCCGTTCCCGGTTGGGGAACGTACACTGCGTTGGTTTCCTCCGTTAAATTGACCAGTTGTTCCATAAGGCTTTTTTCCCTTTCCACTTCCTGCTCTGTTTTGTCAGCTTTTTCCGAAAGATTTTGAAGTTGCGAATGGAGATACAGTTTCCGTTTTTGTAGAGCGTCGTTCCATTTCTCTCTCAAACTGGTCAAATCTTCCTCTTGATAAGAATCAAGGGGTTTCTGTAATCTATTCCTGACCATTACGCCGCCCACTTCGATTTTTATGATCTGCTGGCATATGATCGGTAATGTACCGGAATTCTGAACCGGTTTTACCCTAACTTGAATACGTCTTTGTTGACCCTGTCTTAATTGGTATACACCTCCGGTAAGCATGTCATTTTTCATCATCACCTCAACAGGACCATATTCTCCAAGATCATTAAGCTCTTGTATCTCCACCCACAGCTCAATCTTCCTGGTGAGTTCAGACCATCGGTCCAACAATGACCTAGCGGTAGCCAGCTGTTGTTCCACTTCCCACCCCGGTTTGTATTTCGAGAATCCCGCACTCCTATTACCCCATACTTCTATAGATAAAGCTCCCTCTGCAGTGAGTAAGGAAAACTATTACTAAAATATATTATATTAAAAGGTGTACCCGTACCCGCACAATGTTCAATAAATTCTTCAGAAAGTGTAACTGTAAAGTCTCTGCAGTCGTCAAATCTAACGGTCGTAGAATGTTTGGAAGCATTTTCTCCAACATTTTTATCTGGAACAACTATAAGTTCTTGGTTCCAAAACGTGTACTGACAAAATACGAAATGCGAAAGAGATAATGGTAATCCTGTTGCTTGCTTTATATGAACTCTGCAGGTCACAGTAGTGCTACCCGACTCTTCATCGTCATGTCCGCAATCAGATGAATTGTCTGAAGCTGCTTCACATATACGATCCTGTGGGAACGTACCAGCAACCCTAGTCAATTCAACCTAAAAATGTAGTAGTGTCAATTTATCACTTACGTATATAAAAAAAAAAACGTTCAATACAATCAAAACCAAAATTAAGCAACATGGTTAAAATATATCACATACTTGAAGCCTGCCAGCTACTTCTCCTTGCTGACTGATAATGGGTGTATGGTAGTCCAGGGTGACATCATGGAAAAGGGCTTCCAGAAATATATTAGCGACTCCAATGAGATTGTGATTTTCTTGAGACTCAAAGAACGGATCAGGACTTTTGACCTCCTCCAAATCCTACAACATGACGCAAGATTTAGTACCTTAAAGTCAAATTCATTTAGATAAATGTACCGATCCAAAATCATCTCTATTTTTCTGTTCCTCAAACAGTTCCCTCATGTCAATAATTTTGTTTTCTAATTTTTCCATTGACCACACTTGACTAGAGTTTCCCCTTTTTACTAGTATTGCAGGTTCACTAACGAATGCCCCTTTCTGAAAGCAATAAACAAAAAATAAAAAAAAAAAGCTTAACCTACTGAGTTTATATTTGTTACCCGCCGATTGGGACTTAGATTGGCCGGTGGGATTTGCAATGTGACGCTAAATTTTGTTTGCCTCCTCATTTCCTCAGCCAAAAAATTCGCTTCTTGTACCAGCGAGTTGGCTCGCAAAATATCCTCTTTTAATTGACAAATACTCCTGCGAAACATTTCATCTCTCTCTTGAGCCCATTTTTCGACTCTCATCTGAGTCGTCGGAGTACACGGTGTAGTTTTTCCCATTCCTATCCTCAACGGGTCATACGAATAAGGAGAATATGGCGTCGATGGAGATACCATATTCCTGAGCTGCTGGAATTGCCGTTCGTATTCCATTCGTTGTTTTTCAAGCGCCACTAAAATGATTTTTTTTCTACTTTGAAATCTACCAAACAAACACTTATCCAACATAGGGAAACCTGTGTGCGACACATGGTTAGAAATAGATAAAACACCGATATACCTTGCTTATCCTCTTCGTGTTGCTTTTCAAGCCTAGCTATAGCAACTTGTATTGGATCATTGCTAAGTTCATTTGACATTAATTCATCTCGTGCAAAATTATAATCAATACTTTGTGCTGGAGTTTGGGGTTCTGATGTAGCAGCTACAATTAAATACACGGCACTAAGTAGGAGCTTAAAAGTTGGGTCTACTAGTGTCTGAGGAGTACTACTTCTACTGGGAATTCCATAGTAAGCCCAAAACAGGATGTCTACTTTTATCTGTGTACGAATACGTGGAATTTTTATTGTTATCGATTTATTTCTGTTTTAAAAAAAAACAACAAAAGTTGCCTTTTATAGCATTTCCAAAACCCATGATTGTCGTACTTAAAATTACGCCTTTACAACATTTTTGACCTTCAAATACATAGTCCGCGTTAAAACAGTTTAAATAAAAAATACAAAGTGAGTTACTTTCTGCCACAAAAATAAACCGATCATTTTAATTATAAGCCAAAACATTTTATACACTGACACGGGATTAGGAGTAAAATAAAGTTTTTAAATTAATTTAGTTGCTAGAAAGTTATTACTTTAATTCAAGCATTTTTTTTAATTAATTAAAAACATTTCTATATACATTTACTGCTCTGAAAGACAAAACATAACCATTCAACATAGATTTCCTGTAAAATTTAAAATTCGACGAATTTTTACAGTGTAGTTTTCAATAATTTTCCGGGGTGCAAAAACTAAGAAATTTATCGAAACTTGATAAGGCAATAATTGAACAAAATCGAATTTAACAATTAAATAATATACAGGCTATCTCATGGAAAGGCATTACTTTAATTTTATAATTGAAAATTAAAAAAAGTGAGTTTTTTTCAAGGAAACTTCCACAGGCTGCTGTAATACTATTTACAAATCATCTTGTTGGTCCCTTCAGAGCCCAACTGAAACTGGAACTAAGGAATCCAGAGAATTTGTAAAGAGTAATGGGTGAGTTGCGCAGATTTTTCGGGATCCTAGAAGGGCAAATTTTCGAAAACCGTAACTTGAGAACTGCAAGGCTAACCGAGACACAAATAAAAGTATACAACCTGTGTAACAAAATTAATAAGTGATTCGAAATTATACTTACAAGTGGACCTAGGGCAGTTTACTCTAAAATAGTGATGGTTGCCCCATACTATCCTATCGCCGTGCCTCAGAGGAGTCTTTTGACTAACTTGGGAACCATTTACACACGATCTAGCGTTAGTTAGAGGTTCCAGGAACAAACCATTTTCTTCTATAGTAATAATGCAATGTTCTGGTTGAATACCGAGACCGGACAATTGTATATCAGGTTCCATATTGGATCCGGGAGTTCTCTGGCCAACTACGGTGCGGTCTTTTAAATAGTAGACTAGTAACTCGTTTAGATAAGGATCCGCATTTAGATTAACCAAGTAGTACTTATTTTTCTCGACTTTGATACCCGAGTCTTGAATACTGATGCCCATCTTTTCTAACGCTTGCTGCCTTTCATTTTGAATTCTTTCGGTTTTAATTAACTTTTCCTCCCACGTCTGCGTGTGTTCTTTGTACAATTTCTCACTTTCGCTTAATTTCTGATGAATGTCGACCCTTTGGGTATCACCGACCGGTGATCCGGTCGCATGTTTTAACATTTCCTTCAAAGCTTCCAATTCGGCCCTCAGTTCCCTTATAATTCGAGCGTTGGGATCTTCGTTAACCACCGCATGGTTAACGATTCTCTTCGCTCTGTCTGCGTATCGCAGAGTCGACAGTGTTTCCTCGTAATTGTCAGCGGCAGGTGATATTGTAGCCACCATCACAGTCTTACTGTTACCTCCTAAATTATCTTTCAATAGCCACGTTAACACCGAGTCTCTGTATGGCACGAATTTATCTTTTTGTTTCCCAGACGATTGGTCCGCTAATTTTGATATGACCAAACCAAGCGTCGTTAGTGATTTATTTATATTAGAACCTTCTTTGAGCCTTTCACCAACAGCACCAGTTTTTACGGCTCGTTCCGATCCAGCTAAATCGACTAGAGACATTCGACTAACTTTCTCTCCAGACACACCACTTTTGATATCAATTAACGTCTGGGTTAAAATAACAGAAAACACAGCGTGAGATCGTGATGATTCGCTATTCATGTTTGTCGCAGCGACTGTTCTAGATTTATTACCTTCGGCCATTAAATTGTCTATATCCTAAAATAATTACCGATCGTTACGGCTATTATAATCTGCTATTATTGTTCTATACCTGGAACGATGTGACCGCAAGCTGAGACAAACCGTCGACGTACGGACCTAGTACGTTGTGTTCTCTCACCTTTAGCGACTGTTTATTTGGTTGGGGGTCCAATAGGTCGTGTACCCTTTCGTTATAAATCTCCATGTAACTGACTTCGACTTTGTAAGATAATTCGGAACTTTGCCTTTCAGCTATTAGGCCGAAAAGTGCGTCACACAGTCGCGGAATAATGCCCTTACTGTCTTGCGAACCCATCATGGTGTACGACTTACCAGACCCTTAAAAAACGTATTGGTTTTAGTGATTAAAAATTTAGCAAAGCGTAATTGTGATTTATTGGTTAGTTGCAACGCCCACCAACCGATGATCTGGATGCAATGAAATTTTTATTATCCAGACGGTTTGGATAAATATGTTAGTTTTAAGAAATGGTTATTGTGTCCATTATATTATGTTAGGAATAAACAGTGAAGACAACCTACAAAGAATTTTACACACTTTTCAGCTTTTTAGCTAACAAAACAAAATCCTGGGTGATATCTCGAGAGCGTATTAGATGCAAATTTGAGAGAGTAAGTAGATGACGAAGCACGCACGGAAGTAAAAAACAGTCAAACAAAACGATCAGAATGTCTGACTGCCTAAGGCAAAACAAATATATGAATAAAAAAAAAACAAGATAAAAATATATAAAACAGCACTCCAACCAGCGAAACACGAAGAACAAAACAGAGAATGAGATCGATAAAAATAAAGGTATTATCGTCCATATTGGGAATTACGCTAAGAGGCGGACAAACTAATGAGAGCACAAGGAATGAACACGCAGAACGTATGAACAACTTCAGGTTATCAAAGATATGCAAAAATGAAAGACCCAAAGGAAGACAACAGGGACGATCACCGAAAAGATGGTCACAGAGTTAGTTCTCGTCGTCAGATGAACAGTTACAGGTTAGAAAAATAGGAAAACTTTCCCAGTCAATAGTAGAAGAACAACAAAAATTATTTATCCTATCCAAATCCATTTTCCATGGGATCGAATGGGAAATATTTAACAGTCAATGCCCTATCCATTATTAACCTGTCACTGTTCGAGTTGCTCGACTGAAGTAACTCGAAAATAAAACGATGAGGATGTGAAAACCGTTTCATATTTCCCCTGTCAACTAAAACAAACAACATGGCGATGCGCCAAACAACTCAATTTTGTGTATATCGTTGAAAGAGAGCGTAAACTATAAAATGCGGCAATAGTCGATAACGTTCTGTCCGGTATAAAGGACGCCAAAGGGGAAGGAAATTCGTCGGCAACATTCAATTTTTTCGTTATATGTGTTAAGGGCATTCTGGAAATGTTAGCAATATCCGAACACTGTATATTGAACAATTTTGGTTAGTATGGTTATATGCAAAATATTGCTCACTTTGATCTTCTCCATTGGACATTGTTTACATTGGAGGGGCTCTGTAAGCAATGTCCGATTTTCCACAAATCCCGTAACATATACAAGCATTTATTCACAATTTCGATTACTGAATCAAAGCTAAGAGATATTAACCAAAACTAACGATAAATGCGTAAAGGGTCGTAAGTCCACGGAATGGTCATTCGTCATTAATTTATTACTCTATCTCAATTTCAAACGCACTATACATATAAGGCTGTGGGTACAAATATATTTTTATCGAAACGACTATTCAACGAAGCCATATAACCTTTCGTGACTTGGAATTAATCAAGATCTTTGCTCCAATAATACTGTCGGAAAGGGCTCAGTTAAGATTTCGAACAAAAAGGGAATGTGATAAAATTGTAGTATGTTACAGATATCGAGGCGACGATATTTTTATATACATCGTATACTGTTTTTGAATAGGTAAAATTAATTAGTGTCAAATATTCAAAAAATTGTATACAAAAATAATTCCCTTTGAGAATAAGTTTTTTTTTTCGACACTGCGAGAGTTATCTGTACAGATTGTTGTGTTATAGGAACACACTTTCCATTCGAAAGAAAATTGGCTATCTGCAACCCAATTTTTGAGGGCGTTTTTATAGAAAATTTGCCTTTGAATCGAATATATTATATGGAATATATAAACCACACGAAAGTTAATAAAATGCGAAATTTTATTTTTTTATATATGTATTTATACTGTATTTTCTATTAGTAATTTTAATAAATTAGTGTTATTTTTTCTTTCCTAGACAAAATATATTTTGTTAATATACAACAAAAAAGTAATTTTTAAGCATTTTTAAAATATATATGCGTGTATAAGTACACCTGTTTTTGTTTTTTGTTTCTTTTTTCTTTTAATTGTCCATCAACAAGTAGAGCCCTTCCTGGTAGTTCTTTAGTTATTGACATTTGTCATTTTGTTCTGTGAGAATTACTTTAGTGAATCCCACAAAACGTCAAATGTATTAATTCGGGGCTATAGAACCTAAATATTTCCATAACTCTTACGGTAAATATAACGCGTGCCATAAATTTGAAAAGGAAATTTAGGAAATATGTAGAAATATACAGGATGTCTTACAAAGAAATTTTTCATGAGTCAGTAAATCATTGATTCGTAAACGAAACAGCTTGGTTAAAAAAATTTTTTTTCGAACGTGCTTTTCAAATTTAACTAATTTTTTTAAATAAAAAAAAAAGTTACCTAAAGTAATATTACATTTTTACAAAGGCCATCTAGCGGCCAAACTTTATTTTGAGCCTTTGAGTTTTTCATAAAATTCGAGCCCCAAAAAAACGGCCAAAACTTGTTTGAGCATGAAAACGAAACAACGTTCTCCGTGGTAAAAACTTAAAACTCCCCCTGCTAAAAGTCAAAGCAACGTAAACAAAACTCGGCCTAATTAGAAAAAAAACGTGTGGAACTCAAAGTAATTAAGATAAGAACGTAGAGGGTGCGCCCAACATAATATTCCGCACGCAACTAGTGCAAATAATCAATAACAAAGTGAAAACAGCCGCAACGTTGTTTTCACGGACCGAACACGGCTCCCCTTCCCCCGTTAAATTTTAAAAATATTTTAGCGTGAAACAAAACCAATTTAAAGCGATTTTATCGGAGGAGGGTCGATATACCGCACATTGGTCGTTGGAAAAATACCACATTGTTCCTTGTATATCATAGAGGGTGTTCAAAAATTGTAGGTACACTTTTCCGATATTTGATTAATTGTGAGATCTCTTTTTTATTATAATACTGTGCACCTAAAAATAAAGTAATAAACTTATCTACAATGTTTCCATAGATAGTGAGATAGAATACTCAATAAAAAGAAATTTTAAAAACAGTATCGTCGTATCGAGTACATTAACGTAAAGACAACTTAAGGAAACGAAAATTGAAATTGTCGGTCAATTATCAAGTAACTGCTAGAACGAATCAATATTTCCCCGTCAAATTTTAAAAATATTTTAGCGTGGAACAAAACCCCTTTAAAGCGATTTTATCGGAGGAGGGTCGATATACCGCACATTGGTCGTCGGAATTTTGATCTCTCCCCGAATTGGCAATTGTCTATTTCCCCCTCACTTTAGTTCCGGAGGCTCCGAATTGCATTCCGGTGTTAAAAATCGAACCCGTGTCTCGTTATCTCGTGTTTCCAGCTCGCCACCGAATCGTAGTTGTTTTATAATTAGAAACCAATAGTTTGCTTTAACTCAATTTTTTAAGCGATGTTTTCTTTTTTGAAAATCTCTAACAAAATGATTTTTTTTAGTTCTTTAGTGGACTCAATGGTTCAATTTAATTTAGATTAAATTATTAATTACTTAATTAAATTTGAATAAAAAAAAAACTGCTTCGCATCTGTATGAAGAATAGAATTGAACAGAATAGCTTGATGTTTCGTCGTGATACGAGGACTGCTTTTTATATTTCGGGATTTTCTTAAACAAGTCCTGCCATCTGGCGTCTAACGTTTTTATAGGGAAGTTTGACATTTTGAGATTAGGTTTACTCAGTTAGGTTTTGGCGACTGAGTGTTGTTTGTGTTTTATGTGATAAATTAAAAAAATTGTGACGGTTAAAAGTGGAACTTAATCGGGAGCATTTTCGTGCAATATTTTTTACAACTTTAGACGCGGACTAACTCAACAACAATACATCGATGAACTTAATTCGACTTTTGAAGTTAAAGCACCATCTTGAGTCGTAGTCGTAGTTTTCTTAAGGATGAATTTCGTGAAGGTCGTCCAACGTCGGTGGTTGTAATGGGTGTTTTTTTTCGATGTATAGAACTTTAAGTTGGCATTACTGTTTAAGATGGCGACCGATTTAACAGCTGTCAAGTGATTTATTCTCAGAACAACGCTTGCAAATAGTGCAATTTTATTTCGAAAATAATGGTTCTGTGCGGAATACGTATCGCGCACTACGTCCATTTTATCGTCGACAAAATCGTCCATCAGAGCAGTTAATTCGATTAACCATGGAACGTTTTCGCACCACGTTTACTCTTATTGATAACTCGCATCTCCAGAGACGCCGTACGGTGCGTACAGAAGAAGCTATTGCTGCTGTAGAGCGTAACATTGAGGAAGACCCGAATGAGTCCATCCGCCATCGAGCACAGGAATTGGATCTGTGTCCATCCACTTTATGGAAGATTTTGCTCAAGGATCTTGGTTTACGTGCTTACAAAATCCAACTCGTGCAAGAATTGAAGCCAAACGATCATCAAGTAAGGCGTAGATTCGTCGAATGGGCCCAAAACGAGATTGCCGTTGTTCCCGATTTTCATAAGCGAATTTTGTTTAGCGATGAAGCGCACTTCTAGTTGAATGGCTACGTCAACAATCCTCAAGTGTATGTCGAAACACCGTTACATCTAGAAAAACTGACTGTTTGGTGCGCTTTAGTGCTGGTGGAATCATTGGTCCGTACTTCTTCAAAAACGATGATGGCCAGAACGTTACAGTCAGTGGTGATCGGTATAGAGCTATGATTCCTAACTCTTTCCTTCCTGAATTGAATAACCATGATGTCCAGGAGATGTGGTTTCACAAGACGGCGCAACATGTCACACAGCTCGCGCCACAATCGATTTATTGAAAGACACGTTTGGTGACCGCCTAATTTCACGTTTTGGACCTGTGAATTGGCCTCTAAGATCTTGTGATTTAACACCGCTAGACTACTTTCTGTCTGGCTATGCAAAGTCATTGGTCTATGCGGATAAGCCACAAACGCTTGACCATTTGGAAGACAACATTCGCCGTGTTATTGCCGATATACGGCCACAAATGTTGGAAAAAGTCATCGAAAATTGGACGTCCAGATTGGACTACATCCGCGCCAGCCGTGGCGGTCATATGCCAGAAATCATATTTAAAATGTAATGCCACCAGATTATCTTTCGGATAAATAAAATTCATGTCAATCGAATAATCCATCGTTGTTTTATTGCAACTTACGCCCCTTACAAGAAAACATTGATGCAGTGTGGAAACTGATTTTGCGGGATCGTCATGTCACTTACCATGAGATTGAGATATCTTTGGGCATTAGTGGGACCAGCATACATACAATTTTGCATGCACATTTGTCAGCTAAAAAAATTTGTTAGCGTTGGATTCCAGACAATTTAACATTAGCTCAAAAAAACGATCGTGTTGATTGGTCGAAGGAAATGCTAAAAAAATACGATCGCGATGCTTCCAAACACATCTATGAATCATGGATCTATGTATATGGTCTTTCAGAAAGAGACAAAGCCCACAAAAGTTCGTGCGCGAAGCACCTCGAAACAAATGGTAGCCTGTTTTTTCAGGAAAACTAGCCACGTGTCAACTGTTAATTCTGAATGGGATACAACCATTTGCTTGCCGAAACTCTTCGAAGGAATGAGAAAAACCTACCGCCGAAGAAGAATCACTCTCCACGACTACAATGCTCTCACCGATCAGTGAAAACAAAAAACTTTTTGAGCATTGAAAACGTTGATTTCATGAGCCATACCACCATATAGTTCTAATTTAGCACCTACTGACTTCTTTTTATTCCCATAAATTAAGAATAAATTACGCGGGCAACGATTTTGACACCAGAAGAAGCGATTGATGCGTTTAAAAGGCATGTTTTGGAGGCGCCCGAATCGATGTGGGAAAAGTGCTCTGATGATTGGTTTTATCAAATGCAAAAGTGTATTGATCCTCAGGGCGAATATTTTGAGAAACAATAAAATCATATTTGTTGGTAGCTTATATTTTTTCATTACAATAAATAAAAATAAAATAAATAAATTACACCATAAGGTAAAATGTAAAATTCACTAAAGGACATTTATTTTAAAAACATTAATTATAAAAATTTCAATTTAAAGAATTGCATTGAATGTTTTTTTAAATTTGGAATGCTTCAATAATTGTTTCGTATTCATCTAGGCTAAAGAAAGCGTTGGAAGACAAAATAATTTTAAGGATTGTCTTTTTATGATGAAAGAAAATTACGGTAGTACGATAACAGTGTGATTGTGATGAGTGTCGTATTTACAAAATATTCTTATGTTTTTTTTGTGAATCTTTATTTTGATGTGTGATCAAAAGAATATCTCTCCAGATGACTGCCACGGAAACATTTTGAAATAATCCTATACTTTGTTTTTTTTTTCACCCACCCTGTATCATGAGTGTTGATTCAAAACAAAGACAAATTATGAAGCTCAAAAAATTAGTTGCTTATTTTTCCAAGATCAACAGAACAACGAAAGCCGAAAGTTTTTTTTTTAATATTACGGCGTAAATAACAATTGTACTTGCTTCATACAACGGATATCGATTTTAATAAATATCCACGAGACAATTTCACGAAGCATCGAGTCGCTTCTAGCTAAAAGCCGACTTTCGATCGCAATCAAACCCGCTGGAAATTTTGTTTTTACAGGGAGTTATCCCTTGGGTACACTGTTACGCGACGAGGAAAATAAATAAGGGTCTCGCATTCTGTTTTCTTAACCGAAATCGCTTGAATCGATAAAGTTTTTCATGCCGTTTCACGAAAGTTTAATCTAGTTCTTACCTGTTTGTCCATATGCAAAAATGCAGGCATTATATCCCTGAAATGCATTATCCAGAATGTCTCTGCCGAGACTATCGAACACCACTTCCTGTGATGCAAATTTCCTATCGCCCGGATCCACCGAACAAAAGCAGTGGTCGAATGCGAACGTTTTTGGTTGTTTTCTGAAAATCAACAAAGTTTAATTAATAGACAAAGCTTTGCACAACTGTCATTGTGAAGACTCGTATATTTAAATGCACACATGGTCTGCATCAAAATTCTAAAAATATATTAAAAATAATAAGTCAATGATTTACAAATTAAAAATATATTTATCAAAAACGGTGCCAAAACGATAATGTATTGTGAAAGCTCTTCTTATTGATAATATGATATTTCTTTCATTTTCGATATTTTTATTTGATCGTCTTGAATAAAAGGAAAACAAACCAAAACTATGTAAAACATTGGCAATTTGCGTTAAAATAATTAAACATTTGTTTTCTTTGATACGAATTCTATTTTTTTTAATGACCAATTTAACTATTATTATCGTTATTTTTAGTTAGTAAGAAGCTCTTATGTTTTAAATTGCTCTCTAAAATTGACTTGTTTCATTGTTATATGATGTTTACTCATGCCTTTAATAGCATATGCGCTGTATATATTAATTCCTACGAAAACAAAAATATATTACAATCATAACTCGATTAACAGTTTAATAGGAAACTAAAAGCTCATCCGACATTCTAGATCTAAACCGAATGGTATTATTTTCAAGATTTTGGCACGGAAAGCTACTTTAATCTTCATAATGTGTCGGTCGTATTCTCCAACTTCAACAAAAGGGAATGCCGAATGAAATACAATTTTTGTTTGAGGTTTATAGCAGGAAAAAGGAAAACATTCCTTATTTATCGATTTTAGTCCCGATGGGGCAGTTTGGAAAATAAAGGCGAAATATTACGTATAATATAAATGAAATGCTGGCTAAAGTTTGTCAGCGGTAATCTGTAAAAAGAGTTTCAACCAGACCTACAGCATAAACTGGTTTTATCGATTCACTTCTTCAATGGCGGTTGATTGTGGACATTACTCTTTCATCGATTATTATTTCCTATTTTGGTCTTTAATCGCACTTAGTTGCTAATTTCCAGATTGTTAATTGTAAAGCGTTTACACGCTTACATGTTATGACCTTTTTGGAAAAATATTTTTAACGCCAACAATAATAAAAAAAATGCAATGCAAAAAATTTTATGTTTATTTAGATGTTACGGACATTTCAATACTAATTTAATAAATACCAAAAAATTTGAAAATACTCGTGATCTTTTTCAGAATTTCCCACGCTCTGTATATGATTTTTTTTAAGCTATAGGAAAGAATGAAGTTAAATTTTCTTAAACATCACAAACGCCCGACTAAAAAAACTTTCAATGCAACATTTTCTATATCCACTGCATTTTGTGTTTGAACATATAATTTTCAAAAATTGTCCTTAGTTTTTGTACCTAAATATTTTGATTATTTGCAATTTGAGTCCACTCAGATTTATTCATGGCATAGTGCTACCGAATATGTGATGATTTTGCTGAAGAACATTTTTTTATATTAATATTTTATAGCTAATAAACTCATATTTCGTGAAGAAGAGTAACACTGTTAACGGATTTAAACAGTGTATTCGAATGATCATTTATGATTCTATAGCAAATAAGATCATTTTTTAAGTGTGACGTGAAATTTCACTTTTAGAACTGCACGGTTAGTGATTTTTATAATTTTCTACTATTTCGTAACGTACTGAGCAAACTATAATTTAACACTTCAGTGGTCTTTTTACTGCTTATTGTAACTCTCTTTCCGATGTATTACCATAGTAGACAACGCAATTTATATGAAATAATATACATACATGCATATCCGTTATTTTATTTATCGGTTTCTTCTTTAAAAAATTGAAAACTTGAATCGTCTTTAATAAGAGATGCAAGACCATCATATCATAACGATATGATGAAGTGTTATAAAATAAAATGTTGCCAAGTAACAGCAAAATATTGAAATTCTTTTTTATTTGGCTAATTACCGGAAAAAAATGTCCTTAAACTGTTACATTAAAAATAGAAAAAAATTTGATCTTTCCGAGTTTGTTCACAAATAAAAAACCACATGTAAAATTCAAGTTGTTCTCTATGATTAAAAGATATTGATTTTATAACCTTATCTGCAATTTGTCGTACACATAACTTAGATACAACGGCAACGGCAGTACGTTCATATCGAATAAAGGTTAAAGCGACAAAAATGGAATACCATCGCTCAATTTAAAAGAGCAATTTGATGAAATAGTTTAATCAATGAAGGAACGAACACGAGCAGAATACTGCAAATAAGCACAATATGCTAAACTTGACGTTACAATAGTATTAATTGAGTTAGTCTCGGACTATAGGGGCTCGCATGCATTATGAAATACCAATTTGTAGAGTAATTTTCCCAATGAACTGAAATTGTGGAACAATTTTAATCTATTTAGGGCTAATGCGTATTTTTTAATTATTACAGATACAATTCAATCGACACAGGCACTTTAAGGAAAAATATGTCGTATTTTTCGAACGTCAATCTCGGTCGCAACCATTTTTAGACGAAAGCCGAGACCATTTTGAAAGACCACAGAGCTTTTAATTGCTGCCTTTGTTTTGGCAGACGTATTGCTTTGCGAAAAAGTAATTCTCGGAAAGCTCGACTAATATAGCAGAATGAAAACTCTGGGATTCATGTTTAATTAGTGAATATGGAGTCGAGAGAGTAGTTGACATTTATAAGACCTACATAATTCAAAGCGGAATACACGACAATGGACTTGCGGAAAAGATTTCTTATATTTTAAGGATTATACTGATTTATAATTACATATGATTACATTATAGTTTAAAAAAATTGAATTACCTTTCCACTTTGTCCAGAGTAGACGGTTGATGGAGAATGGTCTGCTGTTGTTCCATCTCCACGACAGATTGGGTACCCATTTCTAATTCTAAAACACATTGATAATAAATCAAAATAATAGAGAAAAGATTTATTATCAAATTATTAACGTATACGTCTTTTCGTTAGGAATACACGACAATAAAAACATTCAAATTTGAGAGAATGAAATTGGTCTGGAGCGAACATTTTTGGAATATTACGAAATTAATCACTAGCAAATTATTAACTTTAAATTTATCGACAGTTTTTGAAGACTTAATGAGTTAGGATTGGAAGTCTAACCGAATACATTATTCATTTAGGTTGCTTTATTGATTACAGTATCTCAGGTAACATTTTAAAAAGTTTATAAGAAAATTTTTGCCTAAATCTTTTAAAAATAAATTTCTTGTTTGCCGATACTAGGTACCTAAAGTTCTCATAAATAATATTGTCGGTAAATAAATAAGATAACCGGCTTTCGATAAATGCCCATTAATCATGGATGGATGCAAAAACTATTTCTCAACAATCTAGGAAATATTATCCTGGTCATGCTGATTGAAAAATTAAGATGAACATTTTTGCACATTACGATGCAGGTGCCTTTGCGGTCACCTAGTATTTGGCAGGTAGGTACAATGTTTTTGAATAAGTGCCCAGTGGGAAACAGGTAAGAATGTTCTAGGAAAAGTCAATGAATAACCTACAATTTACTAAATAAAGGACATTTGTTATAATTTTCGTACTATGACTAAGCCGAATTTGACGTGTTTCTTTGTTGTTATTGTTACCCTTGCCTACAAATTCTGCATTTTTGGGGATGTTTGGATTCCCCATACAATTTTTTATTATGATAAAATAACGAGAGGAACATGATAATGTTAAACAAGCGTTTGGTTAATATTTCGTGAATATTCTGTTAATTTATTGCACCTGAATGTCGCAATGTCAATAAACAAGCCCATCTACTTTAGGGCAATTGAGACATTTTAATCAAAACGCACAACGGCGTTCTCTAGCAAGGGGACTAAGAAAATATTAAACCCGTTTTAGTGGATTTTGCTTACCTCTTCGATTAAAAGGACGGAGCCTTACAGCAACTTTTATTTTGTCAGTAGACATCTTCTAGCGTTTCTTCCTTAATTTTAAGAATAAAATATGTTATATATACATTATTATCACACTTTCTTTGTATATTTATTTTCGTTACTATCCATTTTCAAACATAATAAGTCACAAGATAGCACTTATCACAACACGTAAACTGACTACTTTCGCCATATTCAAGAGAACGCAATATTGGACATTGCGCTGTTCGTACACGTTATATTCAATGGACTGCGCAAATTTTACCTTGCGTCTTGTACATTTCCATTTTTTCAATGACGATCTGTCAGAATAATTTTATTCGTGTGCGTCATTATAGCGCCATCTTGTGGAAAGTGCCTATTACTTATCAAACCCACTCGAAGGATCGCTGACGAAAATTACAACGACAAAACGGAAATAGCAGCGTGGGTGCAACTTACCAAAATGAACCATGGTGTTTTATCTATGGTAACGAAAGCCGACGTTTTACCTCAATACTAATTATTCCAGTATTTAACTTAAAGTTAATGAAGATAGCTTTTGAATAGAAGATAACGAAGGGGAATTTAAGGGGTAAAAATTATTAAACAAGGCTACGTACTGTTACTCAATATAATATTTTAAATTAACAATTTAATAATTTATTTATTTAATTTAATCAAATAAGAATTCTTTTTTAGGTTTTTGGAAGTGGTAGAGAAAGAATATCTTCAAATGTTATGTTTTCATCAACTTTCGAAGTTTTAGACACCTGTAAAGACATCACTATCACAATGGCCATAAAACAAATCATAAAAATTAATTAAAAATTTTTTTTTTAGAAAAGTTAATGGTAATTTAAACAAATTTATAGGACAGGTTCACAAAGAATATTTCAATTAGGAAGGCTCAGACCTGCCTTTGATATAGGATACTTATATATTATAATGCATTAAACTATTGAACACCCTGTATTCTTGAAAACTTTGCAGTTCCAGGACCATGTTTATCAACACTTTTTTTTTTCATATTTTTTTAATACAGAATCGCCCCCTAAGTTATTTTTCATTTTTTTCAACACCTTGTATAATATATATTTTATATAATCTACCTACAATGTACGGGATGTCCCATTTTGGTTATTTCTGCGGGGTATCTCTGTTATTTTTATCAATAGAAAATGTAGCTTTGCGACAGTGTATTACGTTTTTTTTTTGGAAAGTAAAGATGTTCGTAGTCGTTTTAGTTTTTAAGAGACAGAGCTAATATTAAAATATTATATTTTCCGGAACTCCCCGTATCTCAACTAACAGATAACTATAAAATTATCGAACCTCACTCTATTTTTAAAATGGAACGCCCTGTATACTAAGTTAACATAAGTGATCAGTGTAATTGTAATTGTATTTTTCGCATAGCCACCAAAATTATCTCTGGTTGATTGCGGATTGTTCTTGGTATAGGTATATCGAGAACTACTACTACAAAAATTACTTCTGGGGAACTTTAGTTCAACCACTTTTTGCGGATTCCGTCCAAAAATCCCGCATGGAGAGTTGCCTGCCCTCTAGCGTTATCCCGTAAAATCTACAAAAATAATGCAAGGTTTAAACCTGCGCACGTTAGATGTTAAATTAGTTTAAAATTGAAACCAATATGGTTAATCGTTTTATTCGTGTTTTTTTTTTAATCTAAAATGGTGCTCCATTTCCTTTTGAAAATCAAAGAATTGAACTTAAACAACGAATTTATTCTTGACATCCGTTAAAAAAATTCTGAACTGTGGCACAAACAAAAATATCATAGCTCTCCTGAATTTTTAGTGTGTTCTCTTCTGTGACTACTACAGTACCAACACCGCGCGGCATTTAATAGGAAAAGGCGCCTATGATTAGAGAAGGGTACAGACTTGTTTGTAGCGCCGCACGGATAGGCCGTTCGTTACAGGCGCCAGTAGTTTTTTTTTACAAAGGATTCGCACATAGTTGCTCTCATCACAACTGGCGTAGTCGAAAGGTTTTTCACGTTGGATCCAGTGGCGTAGTCAGTTGTCTTGTGAAAATCGCAAATTTTGATATATAAACGTATTTTTTTAATGCTTGTTATTAGTTTTTCAAAATGAATGTATGTGTGTGATCAATATTAAGTGCGCAATGATACTACGGCATCATGTATCCAGTTTCCCTTAATTATCATATTTTGACGTAACACGAGCGATAGCAGAAGAAGGAGTGGGTAAATATTAAAATAATAATTACGTAATGTAATGAACTCCGTCACTGGGCCCTACGCAAAAAAAGCAATCCGGACCGTTTTTTTTTTACTTTTTCGATAAGTTAACATATTACGGAACTGCAAACAGTATCATTTCTTAAAAAGCACCCTTGGGTCACGGAAACCGCAAAACGCTGTTTTTATTATTATGCAAGATAGGCCGCAAAACCACCAAAAACGGGACACCCTATACAACAACTAACTGATTAAAGACGAAAAAAAAACTGAAAACGCTACCAAATTCAATATAAAATCACCTTTAGCATATTAAATTTAAATTTCTCTATAAAATATGTTCATCAAATTTATAGTAAATCAATAATAATCGATGGGTTTTGGATAAGGGAACTCGAATCTATAAAAACGATTCCTGATATGTAGGCAACACACAAAACCTTATCATGGCTAACTCGATTGTCTATTTTTTTTATTCCAGGGCAGAAAAGACGCCAAAGTTTTGTAGGGTGACGTGTCAGTTAGAAGGCGTTGTATTTTCAGTAAAGTGTTTGAAGTATTATCCTTCGAATTACTTCTGTCTTTAAACAAAAAACCCCGCAAATTGCGAAATTGAACAAAGCCGTTAAAATTTGAAATAAATCCGGAATGCAACGGAACGCTACGACTAATCCGTCTCCAGCAGTGGAGCCGTCTAGTGTTGCCCCATGTCAAAGTACAGCCGCCGCTTCTTCCTCAGCCGACTCGCCTGCATTGCCATGGGGTAAAAAACCCGTAAGGTAAATATTATTTGTTTGGGTTTTACTTTTAAACTACGGACTAACTTACGCAAACGCAGTAGCCTTTACTCTAAGCGCAGAATCTGTGCAAAACTTGCGGAACCCTCGTTATTTGTTCTACTCTTAAATAACTAATTTGCTTTATTTCAATGTTTTTTGATGATTTTCAACATACGAGGAACTTTAATTCCTTATCTAATGGAATTAGTTTTCTTCAGTTTGAGGTTTAGGTTAGAAGTTTAACCCGGATTTTGCTGCAAAGGCTGCTTCCTTGATAATCAACTGTGATTTTTAACCAGGAACCCAAATAAATGGAATGCCTAACTAGAGTTTGCAGATTGAAATTCATAAATTAAACAACACTTCCTAGTAAATTAAAAGTTACTGTCGAAAAGACGGACATTTTTTTTTGTGTTACATTATTAGGTCAACTTTCGGTCACAACTTTTAATTGACCTGAATATTTTTAGCGTGTCATTTTCAAATAGAAAAACTTCGACGAAATCTTCGATAACCGCCGAATCAGAACATCGAACTATCCTAGGTAACTTATAGATAAGTGTGATCATTTCGGGTGTCAACTAGTGCTCGCGTTTCAGCCATCACCGGAGGCAGAGGAGAAGCCAGATGTGAAGTGGGTATCGCGGCTATACAACTTCCAAATTCTTTTCTGACCCTTTCCCAAATATCCGACACTGAAAGTTACCTAAATACGTTGGCGAAAATCAACGTATTCGATCCAACCGAGGTATGCCCACTTATTTATTCGTTTACGTGATTTTTTGTACTAACGACATTGTAGATATTGCATCCCATCACGTTCGAAAGCAACGCAGGCAAACGCATGTTAGAACAGATCAAAGCGCAATTTCCGAAGAAAAAATACACAACGATGTTGCGCAGATTTTTTAACAGTATCCAAGGTTTGGATTGGCTGCAAGAATATTGCATCCCTAGTTGTTATTTTGCACTCGTCGCCGTTAAAGACAGGTATTTGTGGGTCTATATATTTTTCAAACATTTTACTACTCTATTGTAATTCGGGGGCGACTATACCACGAAAATATTCTTATCAAAATGCTCATAATAACATAATAACGTTATGTGTAGATATTACGCCCTAGCAGCAGCAGCGGCCCTTATAACTTACCTTCGAGAAACATTGCGCGTTGGCTACGTAAGGCATTCCATCAAGCTTGATTACCAAGCGTCAGAAGGCTATACCATCATAGGTATAAAACAATTTATGCTACAATTTTCCATGACGGGCACTTAAAAATATTTTAGACGTTTGTACTGCCGATAGACTCGAACTCGTTTCCTGCGAAGAATCTGAACAGCCTAACAAGAAAAAAGCAAATCTTTTCTCGTTGTTGAATCATTGCTTGACCCGTATCGGAGTGAGGACCCTCAGATCTATGATTTTGCAGCCCCTATATTCGGTTTCATATATTGAACAACGTCTGTCTTGGGTCAACGAGCTTTATGAGAATCCTACCGTACTGGGTGCCTTAAGGGTGCGTTCTCATTTAACATTTACCAGAAATTTAAAAATCAATTGACTTTTTTATTATGTGAAAAGTCCAACTACGAAAAATTCGAAAATTTCCTATTATGCTAACGTCGACTAAAATATTTCGTTGCGTTTATTTTACCTCTATATTATCATTGAAAAAAATGTGAAAGCCAAAAAAAAATTTTTTTTGCTTTAGCCTTTCGCCTCCATGGACATTGGCATAACAGAAGATTTTCCTCTAATTAAATTAAATTAAAAAGTAAATGCGTAATTCGCGTTAATATTTTTCAGGAAACTCTTCCCATGTTGAACAATATCGATCATTTACTTAGTATGGGTATGGTGCTGTCAGAAAGCGAGAAGTAAATGTCAAAATTAATTTTTTTTCATTGTAAATTCACTTTTATGTTTTTATTTTTGTGGCAGATTTTCTTATCGTCAACTGAATTACCTACTGCTGCTAAATAATGTCGTAGACGTAGTCCTAGGTTTGAAAGAGACAATTGGCAGCCTCAATCAGGACCTTTTTACGGACTTGGTTGGTTTTCTTGGCAACGAAGACTTTACTACAATCAGAACCGTCTTAAGGTAAGACGATCTCATTCAATTTTATTTAGCTCGCACGCTGGTGCGTGCATGTGTGTGTGTGTTTTTTTAAATTTTTTTCCAACTTTTAATTTTTTTTTTAATTAGATACCCAGTAGAAAAAAAATGGTGATGTGTGTGAATTATTAAAATATGTTTTTTTATTAATAACAATAGAAATGGAAATAATTATGAATAATGATTTTGTTTAATACAGGGTGGTTCATAAAGATATTAGACAACAAAATATTTGAATTAAGCTCAACATTTATCATACAAATATCGCATGATGAAAATCCGAAAGAAAGGTAGTCCAACTGTATCGGTTTTTGGGTTTTGACCCTTTTGCCTTTATAAAGTTCACGGTATTTTTTCCGTTTTCTAAAAAAATAAATACTGAAAATATGAAATGAAATGATATTAATAATATTAATGAAAACAAGCATCACATCAAATGTTGGTGTTGTCCACCATCTACGTCAATACAAAAAAATGTTAAACAAAACTTCGATTTGTATTTTCTCAACTATTACAAAAAATTGACATCTTCGGCGTATACCAAATCCTGTAAATATGGCAACATTGGGAAGTGCAGAGGGTTTCAGTCTGGACTCCAAACAATTGTCGCACTGGCAACCACATATTTCCTCTTAAGGCGAATATATATATCTTCGAGGTATATCAGAAATTACACCATACAAAAAATTTTCGCCTTAAACTCTGCAGAATGTAGTTTCTCAGAATCCCAGAAATTGGATTTGGACCGATTTTCCATGAAAAAATCATGTTTCAACTACAATTCGATAGAAAAAAAAATTGATTCGATTAATCTAAATAATATGGTGATACTAACGCCATCTAAGAGCAACGTGTAACTTTCTCAACTGCTACATTTGTTTGATGCATTTTGTGCTTGATCACATTGTTTTAGTGTTTAGTTTAGAGATTGCTCATTTTTTATGAATCACCCTATATAATTGCGAATCACTTTTTGAATAAATTGCTACTTAATAATTAATAAATTGCAAAAAATAATTATGATGGAGTAAATTTCCGGATTTTTTTGTCTTTACCTGGTCCGCGATACTTGGTAAATCGTGGCATTTTTTAAATTCGATCAATACTAGAAGACGCATTTTCTCAATTTTGGGTTTTGTGGACCCACAGGCAGATATTAAATGAAGACGCCTATCCCATCAAAGGGCGGACAAGTACCCAGAGGATTTTCGCCATTAAATATGGCGCCAACGGCCTTTTGGACGTGATCAGGCAAACCTATTCGGAGAGAGTACAGGACATTCAAGGTGCTTAGTTTAATAAAAAAAATATTTTGAATAAACAACAGCGTCACTTTAACATGGAAAATTGCATATGCCAATGGCAGAATGGGTTCGAAATAAAAATTATAATTTCATTCTTTAGAATACGTAACCAAGGTAGGTGCGAAATACAATTTGCCGTTGACGGTGGCCAACACCAACTCCAAAGGCTACCATATGGTGATGACTTTGAATAAGCAGAAATACGGCAAGTTCCAAACATCCAGTTTACCTTTGGAGTTTATCGAGGTATTGCAGGAAAATTGGGGTTATTACGCGTTACGGATTTTTTTCCCTACAGGTGTGTACAACTAGGAACAAGCTCACCATGAAAACGCCTGAGCTGGTAAACCTCAATACCAGAATTGACGATATCATGCAGGATCTGATATCAGTCTCCAACTCGTAAGTCCACAACTTAAAGCTAGCATTTTCTTTTTGACGCAGTATTTCTTGGTTTTGCTTTCTTATTACTATTTAACCCCGTTAATTCCCCAGTCATTGATTTTTTTTTGTCAACAATTTGATACAGGGTGATCAGATCAGTAATGATAGATATGCGGGAGCATATCAGCCTCTTCTTTACTTTGTGCGACAAAATCGCGTATTTAGATGTGATCCAATCACTGGCCACCGTCAGCTTATGCTACGGTTACACTAGACCAATGTTTGCCAACTATACTGAAGTCATCCATGGTCGACATCCGCTCTTGGAGTTTCTGTGCGACGAGGAGCCCGTTCCCAACTCTGTGGTGAGTGACTTTCGCTTAAATTAGCCTCAGTTTAAGCTAAAGTTGAAAGTTTTGCATTATAAGGGTAAATAAAATCTATATCTATATTTTTTTCTTTATTTGTGGATCGCGTGAAAGCAGAAACCTTTTTTTTTTATTACAAAAAAAGGGCGACCTGGTTTTTAATTTCACCATTTCCCTGATTAGGAAGTATGTGAACATTATAACGTGCACATCATTAGTGGTCCAAATGGTGCCGGAAAGAGTGTTTACTTGCGGCAGCTGATGCTGCTTCAGATCATGGCGCAAGTGGGATGTTTCGTTCCAGCCCAGTCGGCCGTCTTCAGGTCGGCAGATCGCATGTACGCTAGGATAACGAACACCGACGATATTGAGTCCGGATTTTCTTCGTTCGTTTCGGAGGTTAGTGACGAACCTATCGAATCTTGAAATTCCATACTAACTTCTAGTGCTATTTAACTTTTATTTGTTTATAATTATCGAATTGTACACAAAAAAAATCATCATCTGAAATTATAAGTGATTACGGTGAATTGAAAAAAAAATCTATATCTATAGGGTGTTCAGTAAAACAATTCAAGTTGGCATTGTCATATTAAAAACTTTTTCTTTGTGGGACCCTCCTCATTGTCATTAGTATAACGTCAAATATCCAAATTTTTGCTTTTTTTGGCCCATCCGGTATTACGTCTTGTTAACTTGTCAGATTAAGGAAGTCGGTTATATGGCCAGTACGATGACCGATCATTCGCTAATTATCATGGACGAGCTATGTAACTCGACATCCGTGGCCGAAGGCGTCTCAAATGCCATGGGAATCTGCAGCTATCTAGCTACATTGAAAGCCTACGTATTCGTTACCACCCATTACGCTTTGCTGAACAAACTGAAGGACATGTTTCTTAATGTCAAAGTGTAAGTTTAAAAGAAAACCTAAACAAATCGGGATAATATATACGTTGGGGAAGCAGGTGGCAAATGGAAACGTTGAGTATTGGCAATCCTGAAGACTTAAAATCTTACAAGTTGGATTTTAAGTACAGATTGATTCCTGGGTCGACCAACGTGCAATGGTACGGTGTGTACATGGCACGGGATGCCATTTCCGAAGATACAATGGAGCATGTTATCAAACTAGCGGCTAAAGTCAACAAGAGACGTATGGTATGACTTTTCATAAACGGAAAATTATTTGCCAAAAGGTAAAAGGTTTGATCTTTCAGAATATCCATGTCGGAACGGTAGATCAGTCCATGCGATTAAAATATCAACTGCATTGCAAACTAGGGAAACTCAAGGATAAAAATACACTGACTGAAACGGAAGTGAATAAATGCTTAAAAGCGTACGAAGAAGAATTGAATAAGTTGAATACTTCTGGCGATGCTGTTCCTGAATTAAGTACCATAACGGATGAACTCTCTTGCTCGTACGCGTGGCTAGAGGACTTGCATTTGAGAAGAGAGAACAGTCTAAACGAGATATCCGCACCCGAAGAAAATGTTAATCTGCAAGATTTAATCCCGGAGGTAAGCCATTTTCGCGCAACTCTTTTTAATGTTTTTGAAAATAGGGATGAAACTCACAACGTTAAAAGTCAACTAATGATAATTTTATTAATTGCAATTTCCAATTTTTCGATGGCCAATGTTATATAAGTTTAATTTAATTTTATCATTTGGTAGTTCAATAGAAATAATTCTCATTGGTGCCTTTTATAGCTTGTTTATGTTTATTTTTAATTTTTATACTCCCCACCCAACCCAAACAGTCACGATTTTATACAAATGTACATACATAAGTAGGTATGACGTTGCTCGGGCCAGACAGGGCGGTATATTTGAACTACTTCCTATGCTTGCGATATAAGTCCTTATATATACCATTGTACGTAACATATGGAGGTATAGGGTGGGTATATATGAAATTATAAGGAGTAGTTCAAATGGGCCGTGAGCGACTCGATACCTACTAACATACAATCGTAGGTACAGCTAAACGAAGGCACCTCGATACTTACGCTACTATCATCGAGTATGAATGACGGAAATAGCAGCATCGGAGCTGTGGAAAACGCCGAAGAAGATTTATCAAATCAGCTAGCAGCGATTCGTATTGCCACGGGTTACGATGGCTTTTTGCCATCAGGTCATAACGATATAATAACGTCAACCCCCGCTCGATCCCCGTCAAATAACAATGATGACGGCGGATGTCCCGATGCTGAATTTTATTCTGAAACACTCAACTTCTCTTACATGAATCCACACCCTATACTAAATCGCCCGATAAGATCGGCTTCTCTACATTTTCCGTGCTCATCAAATACCCGTTGCGGCTGGTCATGTCCCAATACTGAATTTTATTCTAAAAGAAGCAACTTCGATGAGCAACAACAATCTGCAGTGGATCGCCAGATGGATGATAGCACTTTGGGGCAGGTAAGGTCTGTCCATAGATATAAGAAAGTGACCAATTGCTTTTGAACAGCATTATCCATACAATGCAACAAGATTAGTACCTAAAGTTTCGGAATTTAAATTCGGGTAAAATTGTGGTTCGTAATAGAAAATAATTTTATACCTACCTGTGTTTAATATTCTTTGGTTTGGTATACTACTTAGTTTATGTTTATTAGTAATCATTCTTATTTCGAGTGTGTTGATTGGTGTGCGAATTATGCAAAATATGCGCGAGTCTAGTGTATCTCAGGAGATGCTCTCCGCCCAAATGTAGAAAACACTATTCTATCGAGACTAAGGAAGTTATAAACCATGTTTGTTTGACTCTCATTGAACGTGGTGCCAGCAAGCAAGCATTTTTAGAAGAAACGGCCACATTGACGAAAATTCCAACATCAACTATATGGAAAATTGTGAATAATCCCATTTCAGCGAGGGAAAAAAGAAGCGATGTTGACATTTTCTCGAGCGTAGATGAAAGTGATCAAGATATAAATAATACGGCTTAAAATTTACCAGTTATACGAGCAACAAAGCGCGCCTACATTAGATATCTTAATTAGGAGGCTTGAAAAAGATGAAACCGGTGTTAAATGTGGGCAGAACTACCTTATGGAAGTGTAGTCAACACATGGGTTTTGGATTTAAAAAAATTGACAAAAGGCAAGTTTTAATGGAATCTTTTAGAATTCGGAAATGGCGAAAAAATTATAATTTACAGAGAACAACAAAAGAAAATTATTTACTTGGATGAAACCTGGTTCGACACTTATGATACCCCGGAAAAGGGTTGGGTCGACTCAACTGATAAGTATAAAACAAACGCGCCATCAAAAAGAGGTAAAAGAATAACTTTTTTGTATGTTGGCTCTAAAGATGGTTGGATTCCAAATGGACTTTCTCTGTATGTGAAAAATATTAAAGATTCTTCTCTGGATTACCACGAAGACACCACAGCTGATTTATTTGAAAGTTGGTTTAAAAACAAACTAGTTCCAAACATTCCTCCTAATGGCGTCATTGTAATGGACAATGCAAGTTATCACAGTAGACAGTTGACTAAAACCCCTTCCTCATGTGACACAAAAGCAACAATCCAAAACTAGATGTATAGTAACGACATTTATTTTCTCGAAAATTATACCAAAAAGCAATTAATTGAGGTTCTACAAAGCTTGAACCTACAAAAGGAATACGTCTGTGATAATTATGCAAAAAATCTAGGGTATACAGTTTTAAGGCTTCCCCGTGTTAACTCCAATGTCCTCAAACTTATAGAAACCGAAGTTTTTAACATCCCTCCACAAAGTTGGGCAAATTCTGTTAAACATGTAGAAAAAGCAGAACAATGGTATATCTATATTGCAGATAATATAGAACAAATAATAATTAGAACAGGCGATGATAGCGATAGTGATACTGATATATTATGTGAATAATTTTAAAAAAATAAATGAGAACTAAAAGTTCATATTTTCACGAAATTACATATTTTTACATGACAATTGTTTCCACAACACCGTCTTTAATGATATTAAGTTCTTTGTTGTAATTTTCTGTTGAGAGTGGCGTATTAAGAAGTCTGTGTATAAAAGAGTTAAATGCAGCCATTTTGTGTGTATAAGGGTGATTTGAGCTGTTATGTATGACTGTGTCCGTGTGTGAAGGTTTATGATATATTGAAACATCTAATTTGTTTTGCACTTTTGTAATAGTTAAGTCGAACACTGTGTTCGAAGTGTTTTCGGAGCGCGAGCATTGAAGATGCCAAGTGAGATTTTGGCGAAACGTCTGCAGGATTCCAGTCGGATGCAAGATTTGCAGGATTCCAGTCGGATGCAGGATTCCAGTCGGAGTTCAACGAGCGAACGGATGATATCCCGGAATATAGTGTCATCATATATATATATATATATATATATATATATATATATATATATATATATATATATATATATATATATATATATATATATATATATATATATATATATATATATATATATATATATATATATATATATATATATATATATATATATATATATATATATATATATATATATATATATATATATATATATATATGTGTTCGAAGTGTTTTCGGAGCGCGAGCATCGAAGATGCCAAGTGAGATTTTGGCGAAACGTCTGCAGGATTCCAGTCGGATGCAAGAATTGCAGGATTCCAGTCGGATGCAGGATTCCAGTCGGAGTTCAACGAGCGAACGGATGATATCCCGGAATATAGTGTCATCACATTTTTCCATCCGTGAATCAATACGTGAGAATATATATATATATATATATATATATATATATATATATATATATATATATATATATATATATGTGTTCGAAGTGTTTTCGGAGCGCGAGCATCGAAGATGCCAAGTGAGATTTTGGCGAAACGTCTGCAGGATTCCAGTCGGATGCAAGAATTGCAGGATTCCAGTCGGATGCAGGATTCCAGTCGGAGTTCAACGAGCGAACGGATGATATCCCGGAATATAGTGTCATCACATTTTTCCATCCGTGAATCAATACGTGAGAATATATATATATATATATATATATATATATATATATATATATATATATATATATATATATATATATATATATATATATATATATATATATATATATATATATATATATATATATATATATATATATATATATATATATATATATATATATATATATATATATATATATATATATATATATATATATATATATATATATATATATATATATATATATATATATATATATATATAATGGACTGCCCTCAATGAAATGGGAGTGCCACACCATCTTATCTTCCTCATAATTACGTTATACCAAAACACAACTGGTAATGTCAAGATTAATAACAGATATTCTCGAGAATTTCAACCAAGATGTGGAGTGAGACAAGGATGCGTATTATCACCACAACTATTTAACATATACAGCGAATACATTATTAGGAAATCGCTCGATGGTTGGATGGGAGGAGTCGCAATTAATGGCAGAAAAATTAACAATCTTCGATTTGCTGATGACACCGTCTTACTGGCAAACACTGCAGACAAATTGTTGGATCTCATTCATAGGATTGAAAAAGAGAGCGTGTATCTAGGTCTGGAACTCAACACTTCCAAAACAAAAATCATGATAATTGACCGAGCTAATAATAATCGATCGGATAGAATGAGTGAACAACACAAAACTGATGCTACGGAAATGTATTGTTGGAGAAAATTACTAAATAGTTCATGGACACAACACCGGACTAGTGACTCCATACTGAAACAACTAAAAGTCAAACAAAGATTGTCTAGCCTGATACGATTGCGTGTCCCAAAATATTTTGGACATGTAATGCGAAGAGGTCCAAAGTGCTTAGAGAAAATAGTCATTCAGGGAAAAGTCGAAGGAAAAAGAAACCGTGGCCGCTCACCGACAAGATGGATCGACCAATTAACAAAACCTACGGGGATGACCATGCGTCCTCTCATCACCGAAGCCCAGGACCGTGAGAGATGGAAGACTCTAGTGAACGACGTCGCATTAGCCGCTACATCCTCACAAGAGGATACAGACTGAAGAGAGAAGCAAAGTACGGACCTGTTCGTCCATATTTCATTCTTGCAGTTTGTCCGGGTCTTTCCTTAATTCGTATCAGTTTGTCACTTTCTTATATCTATGAACAGACTTTAACTAGAATATCGCGTAAAACAATATTTTAACTGTGGAACCGGCTGCTTGAACTTTGTCTGCAATAATTGATATTAACTAATTTAATTAATTTTCACTATTAGCGTTGAGAGCGTTATTAAAACAAAATATTGAAAGCGTTTTAAAAATTTCGGTTTTATTTTGATATACTTTGCCTATTTATTATCGACATATTTTTGGTGGTAACATTTTTATATTGTGGTTGTTTTAAATGTTTTTTTTATCTACTCCATATGCCACATTAGGAAAATGAAGTACATGGTTGCCCTAGCGTGGACATTATCGAGGGTGGTCAGGTTGCATCAGAAAATAATGATGGAAATTTTGGACCTATATTCGAAGACGAAGCCATTATTTTCTCTAACGAAGAAATTATTGATGAAATGGGGAGCGATAATTATGCTAAACCTGCGTCTATGGAGGAACCCATTTCCCCTGTTGTGGAAAATACAGATTGTAGGGGAAACGTATCAGAGAATAGCGATTGTAATCGTAGTCCTACACCTATTCCCGAGAACAGTGCCGAGTTTGACGAAAGGTTGGAGATTTTTGAAACAACAATATCATTATCACCCCTCGAGGAACACGTCTTCCCCAATGTTGAAATCATAAATGGTCCCGGTAGTATATCAGGAGACAGCGATGACCGTGGCAAGCACACGGAAAAGCAAGAAGATATTTTCCCAATTGTGGAAATTAATGACGGTTCCGGTAGTACATCAGGATGCAGCGACTACTATTCGCAAAACAATATCGTTAACAATATGGATGACTGGGAGATGAGGACCCCCATTTGTAGTAGCGGCACCTCGTTTGAATCAGATGGAGCGGATTCAAGCAACGTGAATACAGCCAATTTTAGTCCAGATTGGCAATTCGAAGGATTCTGTGAATCAGAAAAGAAAACCGCTGTCGACGCTACGGCGAAAATTGATACCGGCCTTTCGGAAGTATCGAGAACAAACGTCGATGACAATGGTAATAAGTCATCAGATGGAACGGATTTGAACAGTTGCCCCGGTACATCTGCTACATTCAATACGGTAGAAAAGATAACCAAATCTCCCATTTTCGATGATGGTATTCAAAATACCTCACTCGGAAAGACCAAAATAAATTTTGGTCCAGATGTAATACCATTTTTGGGGTTCGAGGACTCAGAGAAGAAACTCGCCTGCGATGATTTAACCCGTAGTTCAGCATCTCTGATGGAAAGGAACCTCAATAGATCATTGACATCAGTTGGTGGGGATTTGTTAAGTAGTAAAGCCAGCACATCTGCTGATTCTAACAAGTCAGGGACCACTTTACAAGCGGTTACTAACAACACCCCGTCGACATCAAAAGTAGCGAACCCTGCTTCAAAGAAAAGCAAAGTCGAGGTGCCATCTTCGCCAACCAAACCAAATTTTGACCCAGATATCCCGTTCAAAGGATTCGAGAGGACAAAGGAAACTGTCTCGAATGACACGACGAAAGATTTAACCAGCATTTCAGCAGCTTCGAGGAAAAGGAACCTCGATGGCAATACCTCGTCGACATCAAATGGAATTGATTCAAAAAAGAGTTTCCCTGGCACGCCGGCTAATATCAAAAAATTCAAGACCGTATCTAACTTGTCTAGTGCTTCGAGAAAAAGAAACCTTGAAGTTCCGTTGGCGCTTACGGAAGCGAGCAGCTCCATGCAAACCACGGGTTCCACGGGTAATGGCGTGGGTTCCGGCAAAAGGAATAAGAAGAGATTCGTGCCTCCGATACAAGCGATGAGTGTGCGCCAAATTAAAAGGGATTTTGACATGCAGGATCGGGTACTTTTTGAGGGTGGTGCGGATCATGAGGATTTGGCTAAAGTATGGCAACAGCGGAGAAACAGACCCACACCGAATCAAATCAAACAGGGTACCTGCCTGATGACGTTGGTCAAGAACCAAGAGGGTTTTGAGGTAAGAATTTTGGTTTTCGTTATTTTTCCGTCAGCACTCGTGTACATTTGTTTACAAATTATAGAGTAGAAAATATTAAATAAATAACTTTGAATAACAAAAACTGATATATACCTACTTATATAATTTTTATAACTACCAATCTAGTAATACTTTTTGAACTTACGATACTCTAGGTAATTGATGATAAGGAAAGGAAAAATAGCGCCGCCATGTTTAAGAGGCCATCTAAAAATATCCCTCGCACTAGGATCGGTTTTAACACAACCATCTTCAGTGGTGAAAACGTGAAAACATTCGAGCAGTTTATTAATTCCAAAAAGGACGATTTTCGAACTTTCAATTTCAATTTGGGCGGAAACCAGCCCCATCCTAGTGGCGTTTTTCAACAGGTGATTACTTGTGATGTCCTATTTTTCGGTTTTCATCACTGTCGTTCGTTAATACCCGTAAACAAGTAAATATTAACATAAAACTTATAAATTGGCCAAAAACTGATGATTTTAATTTGTTTTCATGTCGTTAATTTTTTTATTTCTTTGTTTTTTCAATTAAATTTCAGAATCCCTGTCAATGGTTTAGATTTCCAGGTGTTTTTTTTTTATAAAAAATGTTGTCTAATCAGAAAACAATTTTCGTATAGGCTGACGCTGTGCCGCCAAGTAGGAGCTTCTCGGTGACTTATGCTAGAAAAAAAAAATCCGTCGTGAATCAGGAAAAGCAAATTTTACCAGCCATGGCATCGGACGATTCTGATTCGGCTTAAAGTGAAAGCTGAGTTGATTCCAAAATATTTCATTTAATGTTTGTTTTTTGTTTTCTTTTAACGTTTGGAATATAATTTTTTTGGTTTCGCTATTCTTTTTTTATTATGTGCGTAAAATAAATGTCGTAACATGTGGAAAAAACTAACTTTACATACATACATTTCTTCACAACTGGTGGAGGTCCATTTAAAAAGTTACAATCTCGTTCAGGGAAGTTTAAATGATTGCAATTTTATTATTGTTTAAAAACAGGGAAGGATAAGTATATAAGTAAATAAGTAATATAATAATGAACGATTTTTGAAGACTACTTGGACAATACGAAATAATTTAAAATAAATAACCAGTTTCTTGACACGTGGTGGAGGCCTGTTTATTTTGTTATGATCCTTTTTTATTTTTAATGCTTTTAAAATATTATATTAATATATAGAGAGTGTTTCTATTTTCGTGGCTAAGGTACCTTTTTCTTCTTGTTTAGAAAAAGTCTTACCGTTTCTGACATATTTGGAATCTTCTCAAAGTGGTGTTTGGCAAATCGAAATATATCTATCGATTTCTCCGACTGAAAATCTTTGTTATACTTTAATAGTCTGTATTACTATTGTAAAAATTATAATTAAAAAAACAGGGTGATCAAAAAGTTACATTAAATATTTCATTTAAAAGATCATAGAAAGTAATTTTTATAATTCGATTGTATTTAGCGTCTTAAAAAAGTGTTACTTTGTAAAACATAGCCCAAAGAAAATCGATCACTATAGAAAAGATATTATTATCGATTGTTGTGAGTTTGGAAATGAATGGTTGTCAATTGTATGTCAAATAACTTAGTCATTTTTTATTGTTATGGTTATTTTAATACAAAAATTGGGATCCCAAGTCTATAAACTTTACTAATAGTAATAATAGTAAATAGCAAATGAAAACACTATTTATTATTGGCAACTTTCCAAATAAATTATATAATTAATATTGCATCTGATTTGTTCCAGCTAAATAGTGTGCTATGAGTCTAATAATACTGTTATAATAAATATTTTTTCTTATTTTATCCAGGGTGTTCAAAATTTAGTTACAAAAATGGTAACTTTCAAAGCAGTTTTTATTACTATTGTTAAATTTCACACCCTCAATTTTATTTCATCATTTAATGCCGAATTTAATAACAAAAATAATTTGTTATCATGTTAAAATTCTCAATGATTTTAAACATATTTACCAAAAACCACAAATATCCTCATTAAAATAGTGCAGTTTATTGAGAAATTATCAGCCATGAATGCCACACCATTGAAATATGGAAAGACAATAGGTACTTTTCAACAACAAATTATTTTAACATATCCAGTTTCTTGTAATTATTATTGTCATCTCATTTAGTTCTTTGATGAAGTATTAGTTTTTTAAAAAATGATTTTTTCATGGAAAGAGTTAATTGATACGATATTTGTGGTGACCGATTGTAATAAAAACTGTTACCTGGCCAACCATTATTAATTTAAGGAGAACGTGTACCCAGCTTTAGTTGTGGTTTAATTATTAAATGTTTAATCAAAATAATTCCTCCAAGCTGCCATTAACTAAAAGTGGTGCATTTTTCTGATGCAAACAAAGTAATAAGTACAGGTAGCCAACCGTTTAGTACCGTGAGAAGGACGAAATTAATTTTAATAATTCGTTGGTAATAAATAATTATTACTCATCTCGAATTCTTCCGTGCAATCATTATTGCTATCCTGGGCGCTCATGTTTGACGATGTTTGCTTCGGAAAAATTATAACACACAATAATAGTTTCCGATAACGTTTAGAAGCACTCATTTATTCGAGGGTATGTTATTAGTAATTATCACGATGCAGAGCGATCGATTTTTCCAGCCCGAAATAGACGCCGTTTTCAATGGAAAATTCCACGTAAGGTACGGTGAAAATGCAGCTTGGAACTTCTCCAAAGGAAATATCGCGTTTAAGGCAACGCTCCGCGATATTTATATTTTTATAGGCAATCTATTTTTAAATACCAGCAATATTAAATAGAAAAGACCCTCATAATTAGTTTTTGTGTACATATTTACCATCGTAAAACAAAAGTTTTACGTATTTTATTTACACGACAAATTGATTTTTGGGCTTGCTTCGATCTCCTTCGGCCTACAGCCGAGTATCGTGCGTCACATTTGGCGTCAGGATCTTGTATGTATTTATTAGTTGCCAGTTTTCTTCGTACAAATCTTAGAAGCTCTAAAATGAAGGCGACGATATGCAGCTGATAATGAGGTAAGCGATATACCATTTCGTCAGCAATTTTTTTTCCAAACTGTAGTAGTGGTATTCATTTGACACGAAATTCTGTTTGATCTCTCGAAATTCAAAAATTTCTTAATATATCGAAAATGGTATTCCTAAGTTTTGCAAATCAAATTTTATTCAAATCATGCGTGGTGTGGTAAGATCACAGCGACTGAATGCGTAGCCTATGTCTGATGGTCAAGGTCTAGATATACAGCTTGTCCATTTGGCACCATATGGTGCACTTATTTATGTTTGGTTTTATGAACCAACTATACGGAATGTGTTTATCGATAGACATAATGCTGATACTAAGAAGTTTATAAAAAAATGTTAAATACCTGACGAACGTTTTTTTAATTTTCCTCAACTTTTTTTAGTAGCAATTATTTGCAGTAAACTTATATTTTTATAAAACTGTTTCCGATATGGCGCCGACTTAATTGAATACACTTTGTAAGCTAAGACATTTGAAAATTTTTGATACAATAATTAATCATATAACTTGCTAATCAGTATAACTAATAACAATTGCGCAGTTCCCTGGAACATATGTATTTACGAATACCGACCCGTACTACGTTAATTAATTAATTTATAATTAAGTAAAGTTTAATTTTTTAATTTTTAATGGAAAATTAAATTCTCCTTCCACATTAAGAATGTCCATCCGGTAAATATTTAATATTAGTAGTACCGTTTTCGGTCCAATCAGTATAAAGCTTTGATTACACGAAATTAACATACTATTTTAAATATGCATTATGAATTAAATGTAAAATAGAGTACTTATTAAAGCCGAATATGTAATACAAATTCTAATGTCCAAATTCAATTGATTAAATTTTTCTACATGAATAAGTAATCCGTAAACTGGGTAAAATTAAGTAAATTACAATAAAATATGCATATAGTATGTCACATTAAAAAAACAAATTAAATCTTAATAAACGACGGTGTGGTAACCTATGAAGGCGATAGCGAATATAAATAACCAGTGTAAAATGTATAAAATATCGCGTATACGTCAAAAATCATTTAATAGTAAACAGGAGGAGTCGAAAATCTGATTTTTACATTTTTACCATTTCTCATTTCAAAGCTTTGGATAAAAAATAACATTTTTATTTATAAATTTCGCGGTTTTTTAGATATCACTATTTTCACGTAAATTTTGTAAATAGAAACTTCACACTAGTTGAAAAATGGACTGTCTTGTACCCTATTCCCCTCTTGTTTCGTATTGATAACAATTGAAGCTTTTCACATATTGTCCATTATTTACTAAATTCAAAATTAATAATGACCATTAATAAAAAATTGATAGTAATAATTCACAATAACAAAAGATTATTAAGTATAAAAATTACGAAAACATTCATTAAGTCTACCCATCTTTTCGATTCGCCCTGTATATTAGGGTATTATTAAATTTATCCAAGTTGCGGGTATATCGAGTTCGTGTGTTATTGTAAAATGGTCAGATGTTTATCGTAAAAAATAGAAGGTGTGTTTCCTACGTCATTAGCAATCATTTTCGTGGAACGGTTTTCGTTATTTTGTGTGTCATTACGCTATCGCTATAAGCTAAACAAAATCTGGTATTTTAGAATTTCTGTGATAGTGGCATTATTTTTACGTTAATAATTTAAAAATGAAAGGGAATTCAATTATAAACCAGTAGATAATGTCAAATCCTAATTTTGTTTTTCGTACAACAATAAGTTTTAATAAGTAATGTCTCTAATCTTAATCGACTAGGTATTTTACACGTTTGATGAATTATCGACAATCAATTTCAGGAAATGAAATAACAAATGTCAAACTTCAAAGTCTGCAGTCGAGTACACAAAATCGAGTCACAATATGGAGTCCGGATATTGTTATTACCCGTCATATTACACAATACTACGTGAAATTTCACTAGTTCGTTTCACGTGAAATATTCTTGTCTTGCTCGGGCTAGAAAAAACCAGAGAAACGTGCTCGTTCAATAAGAAATTACCTGTAAAGAAATAAATTTAATAATTGTCTAAAAATAATAATCTTTTGACTCTGCTTTGACTACTTTAAGTATCGCTTATTAGTAACACAAACATACAGGTCGTCATTAAAGCGCTGATGGACGTAAAGTGGGTTTTATGATAATTGAAGTCACATGAGTAACTTTAATAGGTTTTGCCACGCAAAAAATTTTAACACGCTGACATTCAATAGACGACCAAAAGGAATTTTCCAACGCACACTGAGCGTTGGACAAATGATACCAAGAATTTTTAATACCGATTGGCTTTTCCTATGTTGGACGGTTTTTTGACCAACAAAATTCCGACGGAATGATAAAAATTCCCTTAGCATAAATGATAAAAATTTCAAACTTTAAGTCGATGAAGAAGTTGTTTTTTCGGAAAATAATATCGAGGCATCGGATGTGCACCCAACTCAATTTGTATTGTTTTAACTTAGCCTTAATGTGATGGTCGCTAAACATTCTATTCTATATCTACCCACCCGTAAAAATTAATGTCAAATAACAGGCAATTTCTTAACAATAAAAAATATCAATGTTGTGGCCATAATAAAACTCGAATTAATTGCAAAGCATTTAAATTGTCGTATAAAAGCGCATTTTACAATTCAACACCAATAAAATTACAACCAATTGCT